GAAATTTCTATGGATTCCTCAAAAAGGAAAGCCTCCTAGCTGTCGAAAAATTTGTCCTAATCTGACGGTTTTTTTGGCAACTAAGACGCTGTTTTTTTTAGGAATCTGTACGGATTTTCTTGTGGCTTCGTGTTACAATAAGTGGTTGTCTATTTTTCCTTTCTTCACCCTTCCACTAGCTTGCGGAATTCCACAGAACTTATTTGCATTAGCTTTGTTCATTTGGTTCGAGTTGTCAATGAATTTACCCTTGTACTTCCAATCGCTAGCTTCCTGGTTAGCTCAACTGGTAAAGCTGCCGCCCCAGAAAAGCATTTGTCCCAGGTGTGAATCTCTGATCAATATGAATTTTTCAGCAACTAAGAGTCTTTCCTTTCTGAGAAATCCATATGAAAATCCACACGGATTTTCTTGTGGCTTCGTGCTACAAACGGGTAGTTGTGCATTTCCCCTTTCTTGGCACTATGGCTGTGCTTTCTTGTATATTTGTGTATAGTAACTGCAAATGTGCAGGCCTGAGCTGCAAAGTTGACCTTAATGAGGAAGGCGCAATATATTCTAAACTGTAGACGTTTCATTGTATGTGTAATTAGAGGTAGGGAAGTTTCACACTTATAAAAAAAATTTAAGACCCTTCGTTCACTTCTTTCTTTTTTTTTTTTCGCTAATTGGCGAACAAGTTGACAGCCTATCTTTAAAGCATGTTTACTAGTCTCATTTTTTTTTTAAAGAGGCCAAAGTGAAATTGAAATGGAAAAAAGCTTGCAGTAAAAGAAAAAGAAACAAAGAATTATCGAACAAACAATATTTGATTTGAAAATCCTGAACACTCATGTATTTGGTATTCGACAAAGTAAGGGAATTAACTGCCTCCTTGTGTTTCCTGATCTCATTTTTTAGTTATTTGTGAGCAAGTACTGTGTCACTTGACTTTAGTAGTAATACAGAATAGTGCATTCAACATGACACAGGCCGTTAGGGAACCAGCGCTGGAGTTTGCACAACCACCCTGGCGGTGACAGCGTGCACTTCTCAGCTGCTCCCGCAGACGAAAGTGTCGGCTGGTAGAGGCGGTGCGTGCGCGCATCTCTGTAACAAAACCAAAGTGCGCTGGCAATACTGCTACGCATTCAAGTGTAACAATATATAAAAAAAGGGAGGACGTATAGAGGAAAAGGAGGACGTAGAAAGAACAGGCGGCGTTGCATTAAGCGGTCAGGCGAGCAAAATTCTGTTCTCGCTCTCCTGTCTAGTGCTGTCGGACTCATTTCTAAATCGAATGGCGTGTGTCTGCTATATTTATTTAGTAGTGAAGAGAGCCACCAGTGAAAACCAGGGCCAAACAGCCGAGTTTAAGAGGGGTTTTGCCAGAAATGAAATGAGCATATTATGCAACATACGGCATATGGAAACTTTTTTTTTATTTGGCGTGCTGAGCTTCGAGTCGTACACTTCAGGTCTAACAAAGTTTCCATGTGTTCATCCGTCTGACCATCACCACCAAACTACATCTGATGCCATCATGTGAAGTGAATGATACGATAGGCAGGTAGTTTTTTTTTTTTTGTAAACAGTTGCGTGTAAAGAAAAGCTACCGTGTCCACAAGACTTGTGGGGGTCATGTTCACCTACGCTTTTGAGCTGTTATAAAAGATACTCTTGCGCTGAATACTCGATGCTGAGATGCCTCAGTGCAAAAAAACAGGGTTCTTGTTACGAACAAAGCAGCGGACTGCTTGAAGCTTAGCTCTCTGGAGTCACGGGATGTGGTAAGCGTTTTTTTCACTGGCTGCCATGGCTAAGTAACATCGGAATTTATGCCTTGCTAGAGAAGTATCAAATGTCTTTGATTATTACTCTTTGTTTAGTTCGCCTAACACACAGTTTCAGTTTTTCCGCTTGCCGGAGTTGGCCTAAAATGAAGGTGTCTGTTAAACATAGACAATTGCTAGGGTTTCATGTGCCAAACAAGATAATTTGAGGTACACTGTAGTGTGTGTATCAAAATTGTAACCGCTTGGGGTTCTCGAATGTGCACATATATCTTGGTTCACGGGTGTTTTTCTTTTATATTTCAGCCACTCTTTTTTTTTTATATTTCACTCACCCTCGGGAATAGCCGCACGACACCACACGTGCTATGCTGCCACGGTTGTTTGCTTGATTAATGTCCTCCTACATGCATACTGTGGACAGGGCGTACAAACGATGCTAGAAGAAAAAAATTTGATGCAGCTACCACTTACTTTGCTTTTGTTTTTGTTTTGTTTTGTATTACTGCAGATGTTAGCAGCGTCACAGCATGGGCTTGTCGATGGGGGCATGTCAGCCACCACTAGCATTAGCCCAAAACCCAGCTGCAACCAGAAAATGAGATGACGATAGTTATAGCGCGAGAACAGAACAATGACAAAGAGACAAGAAGAACACGAAGGACGTCGCTGTTCTGTTCTCGCACTATAACCATCGTCATGTCATACCAACTAGTCCAAACTGCCACTATTCTCAGAAAATGAGAATGGGGAAGCTGCTATTACGGCAAAGCACTGTCCCTTCGACAATATAGAGAGCTAGCATGAACGGTGGCGACGCTATGCACTGTGGGTAGGCAGCCATTTTTTTTGTCAGAGGCAGTAGGGGAGTGCAGCAGCGCAGTCGTGTTTGCAAGTGTTGGCGTAGCTTGCAGGCCTGATCGAGTGCAAGCACGAAGCAAATTTGACTCCAAGAAGTGTCGTGCACGATGTCAGCTTAACCGGAGACTACACCGCAACGCTTTGCCAGAAAAACCTCAAGCGGTACGGAGAAGAGACAAGAGTTTGCTCTAAGTGGAGCCATTCTCGCTTCGTGTGGGCGACTGTGTAAGCGACGTGCACTTGTGGCCGCGCGTCGACAGCTGTGATATTCATGAATTTCTCCTTCTGAGAAAGAGTTTGATTACCCGGGAGCTGTTGAAGTCCAGAAAGGCAATCAAGGTCCACAACTTTGTGATGAGTGGCTGGTTGTGGAAGCCGTGGGTAAAGAAATTCGCCGCCGATACCATAATTGTCGTCACTCAAGTAAGAAGTGTTAAATTACTTGATTTTGCCATAGATGCTAACTTTTTTCTGTTCAGGTTAAACTCCCAGTGTGTTAACAAGCCCCCTGTCGACGTCTTGTTCATGGGCAAGAGGGGCAGCGAGGTCCTTGCCGCACTGCAGATGCGTGGCCGGGAACAGGGAAGCCTGCTCGCATCCCACTGCACCGTTATTCTACGTGGAGAACGACGCACGTGCATGAGAAGTGCGCTCCACGTCTTACTTGGTTGACCACGCACACGGTGTCGGCGGTGACTTTCTTCACTCACGGCTTCCGCACCCGGCCACTTTTCACAAAGTTGTGACCCTCGAGGGCCTTTCTGGGCTTCATTTGCTCCCGGGTTTTCAAGCTCATCCTCGGAACAAAAAATTAATGAATATCGGAGCTGTCGACGTGCGGCCGCAAGTGCACGTCGCTTACGCAGTCGCCCGCACGAAGCGTGAATGGGTCCACACGGAGCGAATTCTCGTCTCTTTTTCGTACCGCTCGAGGTCTTTCTGGTACAGCGGTGCGGTGTAGTCTTCCAGTTAAGCTGACATCGTGCACGACACTTCTTGGAGTCAAATTTGCGTCGTGCTCGCACTCGATCAGGCCTGCAAGTTACGCCAATGCTCGCAAACACGACTGCTTGGCTGCACTCCCCGGTGGCCTCTGACAAAAAAATGGCTGCCTACCCAAAGTTCAAGCATCGCCGTCGCTAATGCAAGCTCCCTATATACATAGACGCACAGAGTTCAAGCATCGCCGTCGCTAATGCAAGCTCCCTATATACATAGACGCAATCCGCTTTGCAGTGCTTCTCTCCATTTTTTTAGTGCTTTTTACGTGATAGTAGTTTTCGGACAAAGTTATTTTTCTAAACCGCAGTGCAGGATTAACAGTGCAATGGCTTTTCGAGCTGTTCGTTCCAAAATGAATCATGGCGGTGGCGCACACGCGTGCTCTCAGAGTGGTACACTGCGTCCGGTTGTCTGGGCGCCAGCAACTGAGCTCTGTCGCGACTCTCCATCAGGCGCTCTTTTTTGGCGCGCCACCTATCCAGCACTGGTCTCTCATAGCTTCAAAAAAGCACTATGAATTTCATGAGCATGCAGTAACCTGATTGTAACGAACACAGATATAAGGAAATAACAGTTACTACGAAGTAAATTAAAATAGTCTCTAGAACAATAACAGTGTCAAGAGTAATATTTATAATGAATTTTTCGGATAGAATGAAGTTATCCTACAGCGAAAGCTGTTCTGAGATCACAACAAGGGTTGCATGCGGCGTGGTTATCTGCCACTGCCACCAGTGTTCCACCACTAGTGTGCTAAATAAGAAAAAATATCAATGAATAAAAACACCAAGGACACAATGGGAATGTTGGGAATGGAATCGCGTTAGTATAAGTAATATGTAAAGCGTTTTAGAACAGCAAAGGAACAACCAGGCGTCACACAATGCAAATCGCATAGCAAGTGGGTCATTGAATGCTCAAATTTATTACAAGAGCTGCAGGTACAATTCTTCGTCGTCAGCCACAGCATAAGGTTTCTTTCAAGTGTGTAGCGGGTACCACACTTTTCCGAAGAATAGGAAGGATGGCGTAGCGAATGCCTGGCTCATCCCCCGCTGCGAGTATGAGCCACAAGAGAAGGTGAACAAGAAAACAAAAACAAAGGATGCCTGTCTACTACACAAAAGTTATGATTTATGGAGTAGTGGGTACCCTGCAAGTGGGCTTCCAGCAGCTCCTCTAAAGAGTGTTAAAAGAAGACTCTGAAAGGCCGCTCTTCCAGCTTTCGCTGTGACAGTGCTGCGCATTCTGTGCAGGCCTGCTGGTTTTTTTTTTTTCTTGAAAGATGAAACTTTATTATAATTTGGTTTGAGTGCACTGCTGTTTCTGAGTACCTCATGCTCTAACGACGCTTTCTTCCATTAGGCCTCCTCCGGTTGAGCCACAGCCTGCACGTCCGCCAGAAGATCGACCTGGAGTGCGTACGCGAGGTGCGCGCCTGCCCGACTTCAAGACCCTCAACTTGGACCTGCGGTGGCAGAAGCCACTGAGGGCGCGTCTGGTTTCCAACAAGAAGCAAGAGCAGCAGCAGCAGCAGCAGCAGCAGCAGCAGGCTTCCCGATCCGACACTCCGGACTCCCTCTCCTCCGAAGGCACTACAGAGGTGAGCAGATGGTGGTTAGGTCGTCTTTCCGTTAAGAGCCAGTATTCACGCAGCACGAGCTTTTCTCATGACAGCATTAGCATTTTTAATTGGGCACTAAAAAGAAGATTTTTTTTTCGGATTATTACACTACTCTTTCATGATACCAATATCGCCATGCTTGCATTTGTGAATGCAAATGAAGTTTTACTCTTCTACTGTAAACGTTGAACAGACTGCATGTTTATGAAACACCGGCAATCGCTTTTCTCTGAACGACAGCATTGTCGAAGGGCAGGCAAATCACTGCTCAACATTTCCTACAACTCGTATAGGTTCAGCCCACCTGCATGCATAAAAAATGTTTCTCGTTGTGCATCAAGTGGTATTTTTACGCGGGAGATTTTTCAACTTGAAATGTTGTGTATCGTGCTTTTGATGTAAAATTTTATTGATGCTCATGTTTATAGACAGCAAATCAAACCACTGCCTTTAGACATAGGCATCGAGTGGATCACTCCAGCTCGTGTTCTATTTGGAGTTGTCTGATTAATCACCAAATAAAATAAAAAAAGAAGAAAGAGAGTCCTTCATCTTGGTTATACTGTCAGTGCAAGAGGGTTCTTCTCGGTCGTTGCAGTCGGTATCAAGCACACAGCAGTCGCAGCAACCGAGGCACCACATTCCCCAACTCCTCCTGGACTCCAACCCGATCGAGTGGAGTGTTGGAGATGTGGCTCGTTTTGTCTCTGGCACCAATTGCGCGTACCTCGTTCGTGCCCTGCAGGAACAGGTGAGTCTCGTCGTCAACATGCAGGACTTTCTCCTCCCCTTTTCGCAGAAAATGTTATAATAAGGAGGAAAATTGACAAGTCAATGTACTGATTCGAATGCCATGCGTGTACAAGTTTCATGGATCCAATATAAAAGTCCTGGAAAACCTCATCACAACAGATGCTTCAGGGACCCCTTGTAACCGGCTGTTCTAAAAACACAGCGGACACTATGGCATGTATACAGCTCAGTGGCACTGTGTCAATGAGTCAGTGTGGGAGCATGGCAGTGATTATAAAGGCATAGTGACAGAAAGTTCAGTAATATTTGTAGTGCCAACAAAGGGACGAATGATGTCTGGCTGTTGAATGGAAAATAATTGAACCAAGAAAGAGAAAGTTCAGCACATAGCAGGTGGTAGTAGGATGTATGCCATATTGCTCGAGCAATGTGCTGGTTGTGTCCCTTTTAATTAGTGTAAAACTCACTCCAGGGACCCAGAAAAGTTGCCCTTTGTGAAAAAGTGTTCTTTTTTAAAATAGAACCATGGCATGCCCCTTTGCTGCTGTTTTTTGCTCTTTGCAAGCCGGGAATGAGGGAAAAACATGTATGGCTGTTATGTTCACCAACTTACTTGTGTGTGTAATAGCATTATTTTATAACTCCGTTTAATCATGAACTTTGTTCTTGCTTTTGTCTGCACAGGAGATTGATGGACAGGCTCTTCTTCTGCTGACTCTTCCCTTGGTCCAAGAGTTCTTCGAACTTCAGCCAGGTCGTGCCATCCAGTTTTGCCAGCTGCTGGAACGCATCAAGCTGGCCTTCTACGTCCAGTATGCCAAGTGAAGTGACACCGCGAGCATCCAAGACGAAGGAGCAATGCGATTACCGGTGACATCATTAGTTTGTGTCTCTGTTGTTTCGCCTGCTCTTCTGTGATAAAAGCAGACGAAAAGACTAAGTGGGCTGTCCTGTGTGCTCGGAATGCCGATATAAACTTTGAGATTGATGTCTGATAATATTTACTGTTCAAGTGCTTCCTGTCAAACATGACCATGTTGGCACGGGTCGGCTAGTGACAAGCTGTGACATTGGTGACGGTACCTGCCTTCCTGGGTGAAAGAAAATCTTTCGACGATTGTTTGTCTTGCAGTCATGGCAGTCTCCCGAATCACTGAGTGATGGGCAACTGGTGTGACGTCGTGTAAAACATGGTGTTCGTCTAATTAAAGGTCTGCAAGTGAACAGTGAAGCGTGAAAACAGAGTGATGCTTCGCTAGAATTTCACTTTGTGGTGATAGGGCTGACAGTTTTGGCAGGCGCAATCTGTGATTCTACAGTTATGGACTGACAGGGTGTGTATTGGGCCAAGACTTCTTGCAGCGTGTTCCCTGGAGAACAACACGAAGCTCTTTATGTAACATTTGAGTTGGGCACTTCAAAGGTGTGATCTTGTATGCGTTATGTTACATCGTTTGTCCTCGCCACTCGCGATTGTTCGAGGCTCACGTAAAGGGCACGAATGGGGTCAGTCACGTGACCCTTATGCGGGGGCAACGAACATTCCTTTAAAGAGTGCACACAAGTCCACAACCCGGGTCTGCTCCTTGGGACCACACATCTTTTATGGTGTGTTTTCCAGTCTTGCATCGTTGAGTACCCGATTCCTTGAAGTCTTATTATGAAAGGGTTTTCTTCCTACATTTTTAACCCAAGAATTTTGCCTGTATTACATTTTGGTTAGTATTATATTGTGAGCTTTATGGTATGCATCCTGGGAAAATGATGGCATTTGCTAGAATTTAAAAAAAAGCGAGAAACCTCCAAGCTGGGCATTTTGAACTAAGAAGTGTTGTTAGGCACATTTTGACTGTTCACAAATTCATTTACTGTTTACTGTGTTCGTAAATGTGTTGTCCGTGAATGTTTTTATGATGGCATTTTCTTTTAGTGGTTGTCAAGGGTGAATGCGTTAAATGTGTACTAGCTTACTTGACGTGGCGCCTGAGCGAAACGGCAGCAGAATCTTTTCATAGGCAATCCCACACACGGAGAGTAAGCGGTGGTTTTCCTATGTTGTCCATTTTTAGGCTTGGCACTGGCTTGCACTGCGTAACAGGTATGTCATGTTAAATATGCGACAGTTAGCAAAAATGTCAAGCTCACCTGTCTTGGATTCAGTCTGCGATTGTGATTGTAGGGCGGAGTCGGCAGACAATAAATGCTAACCTGTTGTACTCGGCTCACCATTATTTAGATGAGGTAAGCAGGACTTGGCCTCGTCATCTCTACTGATATACACTCAAACCTCATTATAACAAAATTGCATCTTACATGAAAATAAGTTCTTAATAACCGAAAATGCGCTATAAAGGTGTATTCCTAACTCTCTTTCTATTGGAAGACTATTTTTATTTACTTTGTTACAACTGATATTTCGTTATATCCACATTTGTTATATTGAGGTTTGAGTGTAATGAAAAAATGCCTTCTAGCTGTGCAGTGTGCCCTTAAAATATGTACAACTTTTAAGAAGCAATATTCCTAGACAGCAATAACCATCAATTGTGAATTTTACGTGCAATCGCATTGAAATTGCAATTGGGCTGTTAGAGTGCTTCTGACAGGAAACTGCCTGATGTGCAGTGGCAAATGAAAAGCAACCAAAATTGACGTTAATTGTCGTTGATTTGAAAAATGAAACCAGAAAGAGTGTGCAGCTTTCAAGGGTGTTAATACGTGGTGCCAATTTTGACAGCTCTTGTGGGTCGCAGTGCCATAAGCTTGTATGTACAGTCTGAAAACACTAGGGTTTTTAGTGTTTCTCTTGAGCTTTCTTATTCAGTGCAATGCATTCAACCACAGCGTAAGAAATAGCAGAATAGTTGGAAGGCAGGCTTTTAGACCTGTAGGAATGACTGGTGCATCCCTCGTTTTTTTTTTTTTTTTTAAAGTGTACGAGCATCCTCTTGCATAGTTACACCCTTAAAGGTGTACAGTGCTGGTTCTCGCATTCAGTCTGCTGTTCGTTCTAGCATGATGTGCCATTAAGCCACTTTAAGAATGAAAGAGAGGGTGATGCTTTTCGAATGCAATTCCAAGAGCTCTCAGACTTTGCAGTGAACATTCGTTTTCGACTTGAGAGCTGAGAGTGAGGGAGTTTAAGAAAATGAGTTATTCCCATCTAAGGAGTGAACGGGGCTCCCCTTAGTTTGAAGAGTGTATGTGCAAATACTTGTGTGTTTGGTTTCCTTATTGTGAATGCTACAAAAGTGGTCTATAATTGATATAGTGTGGATAAATGTGGCCAGAATTTTTCTTTTTTTTTTCCGGCTTTGAAACTGCCTACACACTGTTGTATTTAGTGATTTAATGTAGATCTTTTTAATGGTAGTCATTGCAATTCACAATTGCAACTTACAATTGAAATACCTGGGATCAATGTGGAGTTGAGACAATGGTTGTGAGGGGAAACTGCATACGCACAGCATACACTTCAGCATCAGTTTTAGCATAGCTTTTCTCACTTTTCACATGATTTACGGACTTTCAATCCTACATCCTAGTTGGCTGATCTAGGTTATCATTAACAAAAGTCTAAAGCTTCAAGCCTTTGTGTCATAATAGTTGACAGACAGTTGGTACAGTATACTCGCACTTTATCTTTTTGCCAGTGGATGTTGTTCAGCCCATCTAATCGTGCAATTTTGTTGAGAAGTACCTGTTTAGACCCACTGGCACCACTAAACGCGCAAACCTTTCTGCAGTGCGAAATTAAATTTACACTGTGACACGTAGCAACTTAGTTGCATCAAGGTACTCTGCTTAGCTCTTTTCATTCTTTCCGCTGCCTTGTCTCAGCCATGGAAGTTTCTGCTGTGTAGCTAGCTTGTTTCATCTAAGAGGTACCGTTGTGGCTTTTGCGTGCTGTCCAAACACTGCTTAAGTGCACAGCCTGCTATCATCTTTCGGATTAAACCGACACTGCTGACCTCATTATTTCATTGTGGTTCACCTATTTTATGCTAGGCTTGACCCCAAGGAGTGAGCTTGCAGTTCCCTCACCTTGTGGCCTGTTTCCAGTGCCTTTGATTAGTCGCCTAACTTGAAAGACCGGATGAAAATAAGCAACTATGCTTTTTACAAGAGAGAAGGTGGTTCCAGAATAAACGTTAAAATGTAGCTATCACTGTTGAATGTAGCTTAGTTTTGTAGTAGCAGAGCTTTAATGTTATTTTACGGGGCAGTGTAGGCCCGGAATAATGCTCATGGAAATGACCAATCAAAGATGCTGTCACCATGCATTCCACAACAAGATGGATGCGTAAGCTTATAACATATCGTGCTTACACCTCCTAAATCTGGTTGTCTATATTTTGCCACGACTTATGGGACGATTAGCTTGACAAGGAGGCTTTGCACACGTGTGGACGAATGAACCACATAATTTGACAAGTGCATGATATGTTGCGGTTAGCATTTGGCACGGCATCCTAACGACTGTAGAGGGGTTGGGATCTGTTCACTGCCTTGTCGATCATGTACGAATACTCAGCCAGGATGTTAAAAGTACCAAAAGGAGGAGCAAGTTGTCTGCAATGATCGCAGTGTGTGCAGATAGAGGTCGATATGCACAGAAATTCGCCAGCATGCATTTTTTCTTGCTGTTGAGTATTTAGAAAGAAATGCGTGGTACTGCACTTAACTCCTGCACACAGTACAACTACTGCTGTACTTTTGTGTATTGTCATGCTTGTGGAAACTATACTGAGTTCACTGCAGCATGCTCAGGCTCGCCACAAATGTCTAGATAATTAAAGAGGCTTCTTCCAGGCTAATTTTGTGCAATAAATGGCACGAAATTCACAGAATACCAAGGTGGTACCAAGAAAGATTGTCTATGTAGTGCTCGGTTTTAGGGCGTGACAGTTTTCGTCATAGTCACAAATTGAGTTTGCAAACCGCCAAGATACTATTGGGAAATAAGACACCGTGCCATTTAAATTATTGAGTTTAATCGAATTAACTAAAAGGAACTCTGGCACGGCGTTCGTTCGGTCCCCATGGGAATTATGGGTAGTACCACGCGGATTTGCCTGGTCTTCGTGCTTGCGGGTTTTGCATTCACTTGAGGCTTTGTTTATTGTTGTGTTTTGGTTTTGTTCCAAATGAAAGAACGGAATGTTGTGGACTTCGTGAGCCGATTTGAACTGGTGAGCCTAAAAAGGTCGAAGTGGTGAAGGTTAACTGCTTAATCTTTGCTGAACTTCTTTCGGCAAAGTGGGTTCAGGCCACACGGAGCCAAAGGGAGCTCAAAGAACGAAGCTCAGACAAACAAGTGTACTACCCATCATTCCCACGCTGGCTTGGCACTAGTGCTAGTGTTCCATGTAGTGTATTTATAGGAAATGCTATGATTTAAATTACACAACGGCATCCACCGCTTCCGCAAATGTATTCAAAACATATGTGTGCAAAGTGCTAGTAGTGGCATTGATGTGAATTAATGACCTGATAGTGTCTAAGTGAGATGATTTCATCTGCCATTGCACGAGTTGGACCATTGCTTGCATCGCAGTCATCGTATTCATTGTGTTTTTTGGAAGGCCTCGTGCTTGTTGTCTTCGGCGTGATCAAGAGCAGACCAGTGGGCATTTCTCACGGGTTTGCTGTGTGCATGTGTTGCGTGTTCCAACTCATTAAAGGTGAGCGCATCAATCGCTGTCGATACCAAAGTGCGAGAATGTTGTTATCTATGATCAAAAGTCTAATGCATATGTTATTTTTCTCCGCGAATAAAAGTACGCCGTCCGAATTGTGTTTGTTTTTTTGTTGCCCAATGGAAACAAAAGGTGGCCCACGTTTCTAGTGGCAGCTCAAGCTTAGTGAGCACGTGATTTCATTTGTCGGGTGTAAACGTTAGCTCTTTCCATACAGTAGGAAGTGGGCTTAGTTTCGGTGCATTGATGCACTGATTATTTCAGTGCATTGATTGGTTTATGTGCAGTGGTGCATCTGTGCATTTGTTAGTTAATATATCATTTCAGGGTGTATTGGTCTCATTCATTTGACTTTTCAAGGTAATTAAACCAAATATTTTTGGAGACGCTCCCTGAAGTTTTTTAACCAAAGTTTATTTGAAGCCTTTAGAAAGTCCCTAATTAAAAATGATTCACAGTATTTATTGCAAGTACTGAGAAAAAAGAATTGGAAGTACATGCATGCCTCATTTTAACAAAGTTGCATTTTACACAAAAATAAGTTTGTTATTACACACAAAAATTCGTTATTAGATATGTTTGGAATATTATATCTATTGGAAGACAATTAATTTACTTTATTACAACATATGTCGTTATATCTAGGTTTGTTTTTCGAGGTTCGAGTGTACACGAAATATGTACCGTGCTAGAGATTTTCAACGTTCACTAGTTAAACCATGTGAAAAACTTCACAAACGCGAAATTGAAATTAGATTTATGCTTATTGCATAAGGGGTTGTTGTTCTGGCTAAGCAAAGGTCACTTTCTTGTTCTTCATTTTTTGAGCTGGGATCCATAAGACACCTTGTGTGCTTGACCGTCACGCTCAGTCAGCTCGTTTTTGCATGCAAGCTAGTCTTGTGATGCACCTAAACCATCACTAGTTTCTCTGTGCTTTGTGAACTAGTAATCGTGCAGTACAGTGCAGTATAGTACATTAATGAGCGGTAGCTTTTGTCCAGGTGGTGTTAAAAAGTGCTGCATCAAGCTTCTAGCCAAGCTCTAGCTGAAAGTCAGCTCTACACACGTCTGTGAGTGCAAACTCTACATGATAAGAAGCATTCCTTATAAGCCGTTGATAACCTATCGAAAATGCATCCACTGAGAAATAGCGTTACCTGCCTGGTTTTAGCATAACGCAATAATCGCTCAAACGTACTTCTGTACATGTAGTACTCATGCTTTAAGCATCATTATAACAGTGTACATGTCGGAGTGAAAAATTATACAACCCTATAAATTGCCATATTTTTGCAGGAGCTTAAAACGTAGCTGATGCAACCAAAGCTCGAATGTTGTTTCTTGATGGCTGAATCAGTGGGAGCGTGGGACGTGAACGTGCATGACCGCAATGGACGTAGCAGCAACATTGCCCACATTGTTATTCTGCTTGCGAAGAGTGTAGATCTTTTGAGCCTATGGGAATTATGGTGTTTATTTGAAGATTGAGCAATTTTTGGGTGTACAGTGCTCACAAATTCAAATGCTATCTCAGATTGCTTATTGCAGCAGAAGCTGTTATGAGATCAGAACACGGGTTGAGTGTGGCGCCGTAGTTGCCCTCTAGAATATCCTCACTCACCTATGTACTTCTATGAGACAGCGTCATCTATCATACTGTTTGGGAGATACTGCCTGCCTTTCTTTCTCGTTTTATTCTTCTGTCGGGTATGCCTGACACAGGACAAGGTTAGGCTAAGAGGAACTTTGCCCCTAAATCACCAAGGACACAATCGGATTTAAACCCGGGTCAGCTGCGTGCCAGCCCACTATTCTACTACTGAGCCACGCCAGCGCTTGGAACTCGTTTCCAAACTTGCCTTAGGCATGCTTGATGTCGGGAAAAGAATCGCGTTAATATGAGTAATAAAGCATTTTATAACATGAAAGGGACAACCAGGCATCACGCTATGCGAATTACATAACGAGTGGGTTGTCCACTGCTCCAACCCATTACAAAAGCTTGTTCTTGATGCCCTATTAACTGTGGTGCATATTGACTTCAGACAAAAAAATTGGGCAAACATCCTAGCAAGTGTGCAGCACATACGACGCTTCTCCGGAAAATGACAAAGGATAGCATAGTGAATGCTGGCCTACTACACAAAAATTATGATTATTTGTGGCGTAGTGGGTGCCAAAGAAGTGTGCTGTTCAGAAAAGGCTCTGAAAGGCCGCTCTTCCAGCTTTCGCTGTGACTTCGCTGCGCGTTCCCACAGGTCTGGCATTTATTATTTTTTTTTTTGTAACGACTGGTATGTGGCGGTTCGAGATAAACATGTCACATTGTGATAAATCTCGTTTCTAAAGATAATTTTGGCACTAATATACTCGTTCCAAGTCGAAAATGCTCCGATACGACCTGAACTGAAGACTGTGGAAGCAAAAGTATGTGCCTTATTCAGCTCTAATTTGTGCCATTTCAATCTGTGAGTACTGTACATTGGTGTAAAAGCGCATGTAATACTGCAGCCGTGGTCTACCCAACAAGCTGTCAGTCTGCGATGCTAAACTTGTAGCGCCCTCTTATATGAGCTCTGCTGTTTGCAGATGTAGACTTCGATGAAGTGGAAGTGACTGCAGAGCATGACTGTGTTTATTACGCATGAGTGATGGGGGCCCCAGCTGTTCAGCTTAGCAGAAGTTTGGCCACAACAGGGTGGTTCAAAGATACCCTTTTCTTAGTTAATCTACACTGTAGTGTAGTTAACGTGCAGCACAGCATTACTGAAATACAGATTAAACGAAACAATTTAGAAACATACGCAATACTTCTCTCTTCCATCTCTTTATTTTAGTGCACCATCTGCACATTGGTTGTATTTCGCATGTAGTTATTACAATACCTGGTGGGAGTTTTATGCCTCACAGACTTTTGAATGCATCCAGAAAGCTGTTCAAGAACTTCAGCCATGCGACCCAAGGAAATAAATAGCAGCACATACTACAATGCACTAGTGAGTGAAGCTTTCTTGAATTGTTTTACTACACAAAGATTCTGTGTTGTGTACGGGCATACTTTGCTAGTGTAACGTTTCGAGCAAGCTCCCCCTCTCTCCTTCGGGAGAGTTGAAATGTGCAGCCTCTTCTCCACTCCCACCATTCTCACTGTTTTTATTCCACCAAACGAGAGCAAATGAAAAAAAAAAAAAAAAAAAACGTGAATGCTTGCGTATTCAAGAAAGCATCTCATTGAAACCAAGAGTGTGCATTCCTTATTCTTAACGACTTTTCCACCGTCATCTCGATTTTAATCCTTTACCAAGCGAGATCCCTCCCTCCAAATATTGTCAAATTATCCCGCACAATTAGTGATCAATTAGTAATCACTTGGTGATTACTCGTCAGATTTCTGGTTCGCTTCCTCCATTTTGTATCGACATTCCTCATGAACAAATAACTGAACACCTTCCTAGCCCAACACTCCTCCACAACTTCTCTCAATTGCTTCACAAATTGTACACCTGCCCCAATTTATTCTACATGGCCATATTAATGTGCTGATGGACGTCAAGCTCATATGCTGCGCCTTGGCCCCTGTAATGCAATAGCATTGTTGGGACTGCATTGCTTCGAGAATGAACTTTCGTTAGGAATCACAGTCACACCCTAGCAAGGGCGCACGCTGGAGGTGAAAGATTTCACTGCAACAAAGACCACTTTGTTGCAGTGAAACCATCTTTACAGTTACATGCGAACTAATACCTATTTGGTCATTTCGACTTATTCGACATTTTCGATTACCTTAATTCGAATCGAATTCAAATACTGTACTAGTCATTAAAATATTTGCACAAGTCAACAAACAAAGCATGTTTGTCACCAATATATACATGTAATGGATATTACATATGACAATAACTTGTATGCCAGCAAGATGTGGCAACTTTGTAATAGTGTCCAACTGTGCTTAATGCCCATTGAACCACATGCGAACTTGAGTATCATCCCTGTCACAGCAGAAGCAGCTGCCTACCACGTAAGCCCTTTGGCCTCGCGATGTGTTTATAATTTACCAGAAGGCCACCACCGTTTACAATGAAAATGTGGTCCAAGGGCTCAGCATAACCAGACTTCCTACCAGTGCACTTTTCCAAAATCACAGGAGTGAACTATGGTAGTGGTGTCCAAGTGCGGCGAGATTATGAGCAGAGTCATTGAAGGACTCCGGTATGAGAATAGAAAAGAAAAGATGGAGGGGGGGGGGGGGGCATGCGGGCACAGACACAAGAGACCATATTCCCAAGAGTGATCACTTGCGAGTGCTCACCCACTGTGCTGTACTGGCCTGCAAGCGCCTGCATTTCAACCCTTTTTAGCACTCGGGGATTACACAAGGAATATGCGTCATCTGGGGATCATGTGAGCTCCCGACGCAACTCCCATGCACCAGCGATTCTATAGTTCCTATTAAATATGTAGACCAGGGCGTGTGCAGTACATTGTAACATTTGCACTAGTGTCTCCACTGAGCAGTTGTATGCAATTTGGCAGGATACACTTGTCTGATTAGAGTGTACTATTAATAGCGTGGCTAAAGGTTCCTGGTAAAGTGAAAATTTCAAACCCACACTTGCTTACATAGTCGCCGCCCATCCATTACTTTTTCCCCCCAAGAGTCGAGCAGTCGTCGCTATGAACACCACAGACACACACAGATTTTGCAATTTACGGGAAAATGGTACCGGTTTTTCGGCAAACCAGTTTTCCTGCTCACAGGGCCACATATAATGTACATCAACCCTAATTTCACTTCCTTGGTGATGAGGCAATTACTTCATATACATTTAATTTAAAAAACAATGTTGGGGAGTGTTACATGTCTCTTTTGCCGCACTAGATGAGAGCTCTTTTTACTTGCATTTACACTTCAGTCTACTCTCTGCTTTCAAGATGTCAATGTGCGCACGTGTCGCCTCTGTTGAAACAAGCTCTGAACAGAAGCACCAATGACTGACTGAAGTGAACATTATTTTGTCCTGAGAAGACAAGTCCCCCTAAGAAGGCTCGTCCGCGGGCCGCGTCCACGACGGGGTTGGGGGGTGGAACTCGACGGCCAGGTCGTGGGCTCTCTGGACAGACTCAAGTTGATCTTCCTCTTTCGAACTTGTGAGGAGAGCGGTCTACTTTTCCTCCGTGGCTGGAGACCCTGCAGCCACGCGCAGCATGGGGCATTGCCACAGCATATGTTGCAAATTGCATCTCGGGAGCCCACATCGAAGGCAGCCCGGCTGTATTTCACTAATAAAACGGGAATAGGAGATAGGTGAAGGGTAAGCACCTGTTTGTAACAGACGTAAAGTGAGAGTTTGTGGTCTCGTTAGATGAGGATGAGGTAGAGGAAACTTTCTGCGCTCAAGGCGGTTGTGCTGACAAATTTCGTTGTACGTTAGGAGCGGGTCCCGCTGCCATGGCTCGCCCTTGGGCCTTGGGCCGCCCTCTCTTCTGGCGCGCCGAGTAAGGTCTCGCGCCTGGGAGTGAGCCAGATCGTTGGCGTTTGGAATGAGAGGGTGAGCATCTTGCCCCATGTGGCCGGAGAACCAGACCAAGTGTTTAGTATTGGTCCACGTTGCATGCGGGCTGCCTCTTTACAAACCGAGCCGGCGCGAAAGGCTTTAGCTGCGGCTTTGAAGTCTCTATAGACTGTTGTGCAATCCGTGGTTGCCAAAGCTAATGCTATAGCTACCTGTTCCGCACGGTCTGCAACCGTGTTGGGGAGTGTTAGAGAAGTGAGGTGTTCAGCTTGTAGCGACGTAACGACTGCTACGAAGTGCTTGAAATTAATGGATTAAGTGGCGTCCTTGAAAGCTAATGAATCGGGCATTGCTGCAGCCGTTTTGAGGAGGGTGGCTGCTCTAGTCTTACGTCGGTCGGGGTTGTATTGCGGATGCATGTTACGTGGGAGCGGGGAAACGAAGGCGCTCGTGAAGCTCTGACGGCAGCGTGCACTCTCTTTGGTTGATGATTGGAGAGCTTACTTTGAGATACACTAGGAGCTGACATCCCGCCTCAGTCGAGGAGAGTCGAGCAATCTGGGCTAGCTTCTGGGCCTCAACAATCTCACTGAAAGTGTTATGAAGGCCTAGCGCCATAAGTTTCTGTGTGTTGGTTTGTATGGGGAGCCCAAGTACCTGTTTGATACTCTTTCTGAGAAAATGATCAGATTAAGCTTGTTTTCATCTCTTTTAGTCCAGGGGTGAGCTATGGCTACGTAATTGATGTGGCTCATGAGAAAAGCGTGGAAGAGATGCCAATACACTAGATTTTCTGGGCGGAGCACCTTAGTATCTGGGCTTGCCCGTTGTCTGTCTGTGTGCCAATACACTAGATTTTCTAGGCGGAGCACCTTAATATCTGCGCTTGCCCCTTGTCTGTCTGTGTGCCCGTCACAGCACAGCACATGCAAGGTACCCGCTATACCCTCACCGTAACTTCCATGAAGTAGGGAAGCACCCACTACACCATGCGTCATTCTGCTGATAAACGAGCCACCTGCTACACATTTGTAAGGCATTATGTGAACTTTGTTTGCACTGTAGTAGATGACGATGAAGAATAAGTGCGCTCCAGACCACACAGTCTCTTTCTGCCATAGATGGATGAAAATGGAAGCAACAACAGCTGCTACCCCACAGGCGAGAGCTTGGAAAGCGGCGGCTAAATTCCAGAAGCGTTGCCTAACGGAGATGGCAGGCACTGATGCGTTGTTGAAGTGCGATTTTCTCGACTGGAGCTTCGGACATAGCTGCAAAGTGTGCGATTTCCAGTAGTTTAATAACACGTTGACCAAAATCACGAACATACGAAACGAAGTTGCGAGCCAATGCCATTCCAGTGCGGCAGCAAGAGTTTACTGGTGGTGATTACAGTGAGTACATGGTTTACTCGACGTGCAAAGGTTCCTTGGTAGCTGGCAAGGTCCCTGCAATGAGTATAATGTACGGCAACTGCTGCCTGCTCCAACCAGAGCACCTGCCCACGTTGAAACCCATAGAGAGAATAATCGCTGTGCAGCTCCCATTCATGAGCATCAGGCATTTAATGCACGGCAACGAGCAGTACAGAATCAAAGGTAGAGTGTTTGACGTGCACCAGGAAAGCATGCACAGACCTTGTCTTAGCCAACTTCACGATATATCCCATCGAAGAACCATTTACTCAACATTCTATGAACCCCAAAGCAATAGTAATGAAGGCAAAAGCTAAAAGAACTCGACAGAATATCTGAGTTATGACCAATAATAACATTGTATATGCTGTACACACGCGTTTTCACTCATGTACATGCGAGTGTGGGCAGGTGATTTAATTCCCAGTACTTCGCTCACACCACGATTCACTTTGCGGAGATGCAAGAATTTTTCTTCACACACACAAATAACAGAATGCAATATCATTTATTACTCGACATAATACAGCATGCACATATTATGGGCCCGCAATGTGAACGTATATACCATTTTACACGTAATGTGCATTGCTTATGCTCAAATAAGAGAGCACTTAATTTACACGTTAGAAAAACCCTACATCGAAGCAATCGTAGATACAACAAAAATAACCGAAAAACACAGATGCTAGTCAAGGCATGATAGATTAAAGCCAGAAACACTACTGCAATGGTCACAGGCGTCGAAAACGTGCATAGCAAAGCTTTACATGCAAAAAAAAATATGCTGAATGTGCTACAACAGATGTGCACAAAGTACTCATGCGAGCGATTTATAAAAGAGATGAATTATACAAGCTCGAGCAACATAGTATTGTGGTGTGGTCAGCGAAAGTTCTACGCTAGCTACTACTCACTGACTGCTGCCAACACGCTGTGATTGCGGAAAGCACAGCCCAGAATGCATTGGGGAGCTGGCTGGCGAAGTAACTCGCAAAATTTTAAAGTCGTCAGAACAGAGCAAGAAACTTGCACAATACGTTGCACTGCCATTCACAAATGCAATACACCAATGCTAATGCTGCAATTGCTCACACTTCAAATTTTTTCACTAACCACAAGACGGTACCGCAATTATATTCCGCAGCACTGCATTAACTTCATACGATGTTTCCAAAACACTGCTTCCAAAGAGTAAGTAACCCAATTGAATTCGCAACAAAACGCTGCTGCTCCACAGTTGCAGAACAACGTGGCTCCCGTTCCATCAGTTCAGTCATCGGTCACCAGGTGGCTCCAGTCGATGTCCTTAAGAAACCTCGCTACTTGAAGTACCGCTGCAGGGTTTGTGGTACACAAAAGTACCCATGTTCCCAAAGCTGCCGCGAATTCTGCGTCTTGTTGCAGCAGCGGGAGGCGGTCTGTAGCGACCCAATCTGAGCACACTTTGAGAAGCGCCCTGGTGGTAACCGCTGACATACTACCCCGCATACCAGCCTTGCTGTTGCTGTCGATGTCATAAGCATTGTAGAAGGGAGAAGGCACTAAGTAATGTCTACTAAAAGCTCTAGACTCTGGACGTCATTCGACGCAGCCGCTGAGTGAGGGCCTGCATAGAGGCGAGCTTGTGCTCAGAGGTGAGCTCAGAGGCGAGCTCGTGGAGAGACTGAGATGGTCACTGTGTGCCGGTGCTGGATGGCCTGGGTCACTCGTTCTTCTCGGTGCTTTCGCCACAGACAAAGCGTTCGAAGTCCATGATATCGATGCGGCTATCGGCGACCAATCGGCCAACCTTGAAGTTGGGGTCGCACACGTAGTTCTGGAAGAGTAGCCGGCTTTCGTCCTCTTCTTCCACAGGTGGCTGCGTGAAATCAGACACGTTGAACGTCATCTCCAGCTGTTAGAACACTATGGATGACCCAGAGTGAATCAAAGCCCGAGTGGTCCGCAAGCCACAAAATTAAAAACAAACAAAAAACACTAAATCTTGCTTGGTCTATATGTACAGTAGCCATGTATTGAAATGGGATGATTTAGGGCTAAGTAGGGCACACACCGTATTTTCTCGCATAATGGGTGCACTCTTTTAATTGGTGCACCCATTAATTGGTATCGACAAATCGGGTTTCATTTATATCAGCAGATAGCAGGCGCACCTCGAACTTGGCCATAATCAGTACCTCTGTGCTGTATTTGCGTGGTTGCAAACCGATGCCCTCTTACTAAACTGAAGCGAGAAAAAAAAAAAAAAAAAGACTGCGGCAGCGCTGCACGGGCTCGCGGAGTGAGAAAGGGCAGTCGGAATAACCTTTGCATAGGTGCCGGCATGGCTACGGCCGCGCGCGCCCCGCTTGGAACGTGTGATCGCGTCCTCATCAAGTGCACTTTGAGTTTTCTATCGGGCAAAGCGTCGTCGCTATCGTGTTTGCTACCGTGTCCGCAAATTTCAGTTTTTCTCCTTTCTGATGCTAGCTTTCGCCTTTGCTGCCACTACGCGAGCTTGCACGGGCTTGGTGGACTTTTGTCACTGATGATTTTCCGGCCGCGAACCTAAACATCGCATCACGTGTGCTGCTCTAACACCAGTGCTTGAGTAGAATCACTTCGACACCCAATTTTCACGTAGTCTTGTACAAACTTCCTGCAACAACATGCTGAACCCTAGATTAAGCCTAATCGGCATTTGCTGCTTTTCGGTAGCGCTTGTGGGCAATTAGAGTTCCCTTTTTGTACGAAATCAACATAAGTCTTCGCGGTGGCTTTAGTTGAAAAAAAGAGGGCATGGATGGCGCTTGTAACATCCGAATGGCGGTTCGAGATTCTATTGCAACGTTTTCGGATATGGGGAGCGAGGCCATGAAATGTATATTCGCTACCGTTTAGTGCACTAAATTCCAGTCATGATAAAACGAAACAGGCAAGGTAGACAGCTGATAACTTATGCTATCAGCTGTCTATGCCGGAGCCGGAAATAAGTTTTTTGGAAATTTCACCCCGCGTAATCCCAAACTTAGCGCCGGATTTTCTAGAAAAAAAAGTGTGCCTAATATGTGAGCAAGTACGGTACTTTTTTTTCCACCATATTCGGTTCGCTTTATGTCGGCACAATTTTGACTCGAATGACTAGATCAGAGCCACCATTAGAGTATAGATTCGTCGCAATATGATGTGGGTTATTACGATAAATCGCACATGCAAGTAATTGTACTAAAAGACTTGATGTTGTATTTCAATCTATGAGCACTGTACTGTGTAATTGTGCACCAAACTTTGAACACTGCAGTTGTCAAAAAAAGTCTATGGTTCCTTACGCTTATTACTCAATGACTCGTAGGCAAAAGCCGCCTTCGCCCCAGTCGATGTATTCAACCTCCACAACCCTTCCTTAAAAGCTGCCTGCACTCGTGATTTTGCGCTGCCTTCAAATCAGCCCACTTTTGGGGCCAATTGACAATGTCAAGTGATGCAGTCATTGCTTTACAAATTTTGGCAACTTATGATGCCATGATCACGTCATCATCCTGTCATGGGACGCCATCATTACATGATGATCAATATTGTCACGGGGTCGTGACGTGGACAAATAGAGCACAATGCGAGTCGAATAATAATTTGTTTATTTGGGTGAACCTGTGCCCAGTAAACGGAAAGCCGGACTGCAGTAGCAGTCTTGGACTGATAGCGGCGAACGGAACGTCGGCCGTCGATCAACTGACAAGTAGCGAAGCGTGTCAGCATTTATACACTTGTCATCGAACATTCTAGTGTTATCGCTAGCAGCGACGGTGTTTCTAAAATAATCTGAAAGATTCACGAAGTGGGCATAATCTTAACAAAACGATTAGCCTTGAAGCTTCTCTAACAACGCAGACATGGTTTGCGCTGAACATAGTGTAACATGGCGATAACAAACCTTGAAGAAAGGTGCTCGGAAATATTTTACGTCCCTCTGCACTAGGTTTGTACAGTAAATTTTACGTTTCAAGTGAACAGTGATTTCGTCTAATCATTTCATATCGAATTCAAATAAGACATATCACACATTGTAAAAAAAAAAAAAAGAGCACATTTGTCATGACAAATATGCTCATGAAAGTTAGTTGGATCATGACCAAGCTAACCATTGTGGCAGTTGCTTAAAACTGAAGTAAGGCATGTGAAAATATGTTCTTTTATTTTATTCAAATGAAGTAGAAGCAACTTTGGTAGAATGCAAGCAATAAAATTGATTATACTTAGATATCTAAACTGGTATAACAAGCTTTCAAACTTAGAAAATGATGAATCGTTGTGAGGATCATACATTTTCCTTGAAGTTGGACTTTGTGGCAATGCAGAGTTTCCTTCTGTATTCACAACACAGCACCCCTCCATTGCAGTGATTGATTGATTGATATGTGGGGTTTAACATCCCAAAACCATCATATGATTATGAGAGGTGCCGTAGTGGAGGGCTCCGGAAATTTCGACTACCTGGGGTTCTTGAACGTGCACCCAAATAGAACGGGCCTACAACATTTCCGCCTCCATCGAAAATGCAGCCCCCGCAGCCGGGATTTGATCCCGTGACCTGCGGGTCTGCAGCCGAGTACCTTAGCCACTAGACCACCGCGGCGGGGCCCACTGCAGTGAAGCCACCTATATAGAAGGGGGGTGGTTGCATATTACGAAATTGCCAATGATTTTTTAAATTTGAACCGAAGCGAACTCTGTTATTTGCACAAAAAGTGCAACTGCATCCTTTGGAGCTCGAAAATGGAATGTTCTCACGAGGATCGTGTGTGCGGTCCCGCTAGACTTAGAATCAATGAATAGAGTAAAAACACTAATATGCAGTTACAGAATCAATAGTGTCAGTGAAATCAAGCAATTTATGATCACACACATCACTGGAGATGAATTGAACTGCTAACACTGGGCTTACTACTATGTATACAAAGTATACTTTGTTCTCACTTGTGCGCTCTATGGAGGTCATCTTTCAATATATACACAGGTACGTATAACAAGCTGAAAAATGACTAGCAGGTGCATGCATTGCCTTACAAATGCATGCTGGGGAGTAAGCCACCTTGCAATACAGTTAAACCCCTTCGTAAGAGGCATGCTTGGGGCAGCAATTCTTGTCCCTTATACAGTCGAGCCCACTTATAACGAACTTGAGCGTGACGCGGCATCCGTTCGCTGTATCCCGACGTTCGTAGTAAATTAAGCACAGCTTTTAAAGAAGTTGTGGGTGAAAACGCAAACTTTTCTTGCCCCAAAAAGCCCATGATGCACGTGTTTCGAAGAGAAGAAGCAATAAGGGTGGTCTCGAGTTCAATTAAAACGGCAGGGTGCTCATCTCATTCGCCGAGGCCCATGGCACAAGCTGCATGAGGCACTGGCTCCAAGGTTTCGTCGTTCTCGCTATCCGGTTCCTCCAAATCGCTCTCGCCACGTACTTCATTCACAATGCCCCAATCCGTGCACGGTTTCGCAGTGTCGGCCTCATCGTCGGCCGTAATTAAACCGCCACAACAGATGTCCCACTCGCTCTCTCAGGTCGGAATCGCCGACGCGCTGTCACAAATCGCCGCCGCAGTTCGGAAGCTTCTGGCTCGGCATCGGACCCGACGTCGACGAAGTCGGCCTTGCGAAAACAGTTTCGCGCGCATGTAGCCGTCACCGCCGCCCACGAAATATTCACCATCTCGACACTCAGCTGAATACCGGGACGCCCGAAGCGGCAAGTTGGCTGCCAGGTGGTCAATAGCTATGAGCAAGCGCTCCGCAACGCGGCACCTAACGCGCGGATTATGCTCAAGCCAAGCGGTCACACTTTCGACGTTTTGTTGAGCGGCAGGAAAAAGCGTGCTAGTCCTCCCGTCGGCCACCGTGACCACACACGCACACCAAGAGCGAGCAAGACGCGCACACGCGACACAGATGCCAAAACGCGTGGAACAGCTCTGAGCCCGTTTCCAGTCAGCAAACCAAACTAATTCGAGCCAGCGTGGCGGGCGTCGCGGAGCGGTGGAGACGGGCGAAGGGGTTGTGGTCAAGAAAGAAAAGCAGACTTGCGAGAGAAGGGCAAGGAGTTGCGATAAAGAGGGGGAAGGACGCGGCGGGAGGGTGACCTTGAAAACCAACACGCACGGGAAGGAGGCACGTTGGGTAGCTTGCTTGAAAGGTCCGCGAAACTCGCACGTAAAAAAAAACTTGGAAAGAGTGCCTGCGCGCGGCGGTGTTCGAAGAATCGGCGGCCGTGGTGAAAAATCGTTTTGTTGCGCCGTCGGATTGGCATGGCCTCCCGAACTTCGATATTTCGCGATTCGTTCCGCGCAAATTAACAGCCAATTTCGCGCTTCTGCACGTGCGCGGAAGGCATGCTGAGTTGAAGGTAAAGTGAGCGAAACAAGTCCTAGGCACGAAACGAATTGCAAATTATCAGAGTTGCTGAAGTAGCGTACGCGCGTGCACTAGACGCCGAATATCGGATACAGTCGGTGGCCAACGATGTTGGTAAATCGTCTGGTCACTCCAGGCCGGCGACGCCGACAGTGCCAGCGATCAATAACAGGGTAGATGGCCGACCGGTCTTCGAAAGATGAGGGGCAATGTGAAAACACGGGCCTCGTCTGGCGATGCGGGGTGCTCTGAGTAGCGGGGGGGACAAAGGACGGAGGGGTGCCTCACAAAAAGCAGTCGGGGCATGGAGGAAGGAAACGGCTTTCTCTCTTCCATGGGTTGGGGAGAGCGGCAACTAGAGGGTCGCGGAGGCAGGGTCGGCGTTTAACAATAAGAATGTATGGGCACTTCGTTGATGCCTGATCGGTGGTCGAAATTGGTTTCCCGGGAAGTCGGCAGGCAGCTGACTCCGTTCGATGTAACCGATCAGCGGCGCTCGGAGACGTTCGTTGTAAGTGCTATTTTGTGCCATTGAACCAATGTATATTTTGACGGTTACACGAATATTGTTCGTTGTAAGCGAAAGTCCGTTTTAAGTGGGGCCGTTATATGTGGGCTCGACTGTATGAGATGTCTCTTATAAGCAGGGTACCTGATATGCATTTGCTTATCAATGAGTATTTTACTCTAGGCATGCTGGTGTCTCTTCTACCAATTTGTCTCTTACATCAGTGTCTCTTACAAAAGGGTTAGACTGTACTATAAAAACTTGTAGCGCTGGGGTTACTTCGCAACAGTACTTACAGTAGGTGCCCTAGGAGTGTTTACATTGGCCAGTGTCACACGCACAGACGTTCCTACACTCGTGCTATGGTTGAGGCCCCATTGCATTCCACTCAGGCAAAACTTTAGCTTTGTTATGTTTTTTTTTTTTCATTTAATCACCAAAAACTAACTAGTCCTTTGAGCACTTTTCATCACTGCAGGGTCAGCAGTGTTTGCTGATGCACAAAATGACCTAAGATTTTGACAGGCAAAGTGATTTATCCTGGGTTTTTTTGAAGTGTAGTACTTCAAGTATATCTGCGCAAACAGGCTGTGAACTTAGGCGCACTTTCAAACTACTTGTAGACAGTGTTTGAAAATGCTCACTTTTAACTGAAAAAGTGTTTAAAACTCTCCACGAAGCAGTGGTGATTTTGCCCTTGAGTCAATGGTGTTGCCTTGCATACTCTAAAAAAGCCAAAGCAAAATCGGCAAGCAGAAGGTCTTTCGTCAACTCACCTGTTCTTCCTGTTCTTCCTGTTTCTCCTCGGGTGCTGCCGCGTCATCTTCGGCTGCCTGGCTGGCTTCTGGCTTTCCTTCCAACTCTTTCTTCTTCTCGTCCTCCTCCTGCTTGGCTTCCTTTTCCTTCATCCTCTTCTCCTCCTCCCTCTCGAACAACAGGTAGTCGTCCAGCAAGCCAATAGACTTTGGGTTCAGTGCTACCACCTGCTGGCACAGCTTGCGCCCCAGTTCCTCTATCTCCTCTTCGCTTAGCGGACTGTCACCGAGGTCCCGGTACGCCACAAGGGCACCGTACCGACCTGCAAGTACCGCAGAAGTATGCATCAAAACATCATCAACAACAATCAAACAGTCCCGTAGACTTTCACTATCACCATATTAAGTGTCCACGTGCTCCAAATTGTTGTTTGGTTTGCTTTTGCAATGTAGATTGTTAGAGTCCAAGTTAGCTCAGCTGGTAAAGAGAAAAGGCAGTCACTCCATTAACACCAGGTCCAGTGCTTAAACCCTGACCGGGGCGAAGCACGTGTCAACGAATCTTTTCTTTCCCCTTGAAGCTTTGTGCTACAAAAAGGTGGTTCTCAATTTCTAACTTTATAGCCCTTTTTGCATTTTCCAAGATTCCAAAAAACTGATTTACCAAAGAAAGTTGCCCCAGCCCCATTTTAACAGCTGGTCATCAAGCTAACCTTAACAAGTTTCAACTCAATATTACTATCCAGCACATCACATCAATGGTGAGTGCCTTTGTCAAAAGTGCACACCGGAGTCGCGATGCTCGGTAGTAAAATAACCATACTGTGAATGAACTGTGCATGTGCGGTGCTTCGTGTAGGTGTAAGCTGGCATAGCTGAAACCACAGTGCGGCATTTTCTCCCGTGTTTGCGCTAAGTTTACTGACAACTGTACACCTTTTTCAGTCGACAGAACTCCTGTCAAACCGAATCTATTTTCCCAGTCCGTTTGACAGGATTTTACTGCGTGGCTCACCAAAGCATGGGTACTTCTTTGATTCGCCAACGTTGTTGTTCTGTGGGTGGCAGTAGCCTGCGAGTAGCGTGGTTCCCGCCTCGCCTCGAAGACACAGGGCTCGTCGAACGGCCAGCTGCTCGCCCAGCTTGCCTACGGCCAGTGCCCGAGCTTCCTCGACCGTGTGGCCATCTTTGATCCGCAGCTTCTCCAGCTCCTTGGTGCCCAGCCTCACCTGGTGACACGCAACATGCCTTGTAACAAAACCACATGTACACATTGCAGATTTCCCTAGTTTTTTAATCATATAAGTTGAAAAACTGTGTTTCAAAATCCATATATCTGACTGCCCCCGGAAAGGCGTTGGCAGGTGTGATACCCAGATCAAGATGAATTTTTCGACGACTAAGAGGCTTTTCTTTCCGAGAAATCAAAATGGATTTCCTTTTCCTTGTGGCTCCTAGCCACAAACGTGTGGTTGTCTAGTTTCCCTTTCTTAACCCTTCAGCCACCTGGCGAATATCCGCAGAACTCATTTGCCTGCCATAAGACAATTTTACAAGGACCTGCTAATCGTAGCGCCATCTGTGAGAAGCAGTAGAAACCACCAAATTGCCACGATATTGTGTCTGCAATTGTTTCTCGCAAGCCGCTCAACACCGCATAGAGCACTGGCGTCGTCGCGGGTGCTTATTATATTGTTTTTTGGCAAACAAATTTAATTTATTCATTCAACTACACTAAAGGCCCGAAGGCATTACATGGGAGACAGAACTATGGATAACACAGCGTGATTCACTTACGATGCACTTCCACGAGGTTCAGTATCAAGAATTTTTTCGAACAGAAAACGGGACTGAAATGTCATAAAGCTCAAAACTTTAAACCCTTGTGCTGTGGCCACGGACTCGCAAGCAGCTGCCGAGTAATAGTTAGCTGGAGCAACCCGCAGCCAAAAAAAAGTGGCGGCTATGACGTCATCATAACTTGCCGCAGCAAGGTCACGTGGGGAAGTGGGGGGTCCCCAAGGGTCCCTTTGAAGGGTGTCAATAGCGTGATAAAGTCGATCACTCACGCAAACTTCAAGATTAATTTGAAATACCTTCCAAGCTGTATTTGCTGTTAATGTTTTGCAGATGATATACGCGTGTTCATGGGAATCGATCCCGCTGGCTATCTCGGCTGCGAAATTTTGTGTCAGTACCCCTTTAGTTAAGGACACTTCAGACGGTTTAGAAATTCGTTCTGATTAGTAATACCTGCAATGTCAGCAGGAAACTGATTACAGTAATGGATGGCTCGTAGTCATCATCATCATCATCAGCTTGACTACGTCCACTGCAGGACAAGGGCCTCTTCCATGTTCTGCCAGTCAACTCGATCCTGTGCTTGCTGCTGCCACTTTATACCCGCAAACTTCCTTATCTCATCTGCCCACCTAACTTTCTGTTTCCCCCTAACCTTTTTGCCTTCTCTGGGAATCCAGTCAGTTACTCTTAAAAGAAGACATATGGGTCTTGAAGGCCTAAAGATTTTCGAAAAATCGATATTTTGAAGTATTTTTTAAAATAATCTATAGGTCCTGAAGAAGGTGTTCCTAAAATGCTATCGCCATGTAATGTGTATTTGTTGAGTAATTCGGTCTCAAAGTCAGTTTCGTGACCATTTTCCCTCTCGAAACCACCTCAAAAACAGTCATTTTCGACGCCGTGACACCTCTGAGAACCACGCTTAGTAGCCCGGTCATTTTAGCTTCATTTGATAACTGTATTCTTTTGTCTGTTCCTAGTGGAAGAACGCTTTTCATCTAGCAACAACGCTGCTATCACAAAAAAAAAAAAAAAAAACCCAAATACTCGCACATCATTGGTGCATTTCTATCACGTGGGGCAGTTTCTGGTTCCCTATTGGATGTCAAGGGATTCGTCTGCTAGATAGAGGTATGCAATCTGCCATTTTGTGACGAGGCCTACGCGACGGCTGTGTGACCGGTGCGATGACAGACAGTCATCGAAAGTTCCATACTGCTCATGTGTTCGGAAATAAGTGAAAACGGCGTCCGAGAGCATGCAGCGTCTTATCAGCAAAACCCTCCGCCGCCGAGAACATGGAAAAAGCTGACTGTGCCAACGCTATCACGAACGCGGCTCTTGCAATCACGGACGCGATAGCCGGGGCCAATGATCACACGCAAGATCTGCGCATTGGCACTCCCCTGGTTTCCGACGCTGAAAAAGTGGCCCTTGCGTGTCGTGCGAGTGAAATTCAAGGGGATGTTTTGTTGACGTCAGCCTCACGACGCGAGCGGTCTGTTTTTTGAGACTTGGAAGCGACCGCGACTACTGGAACGCCGTTCACCTTCATAAGCTGCTTCAGTGTATGAAGTGTGGTGTGTGTGGCGGGCCTGGTAGCATTTCCGATAAAGATCGCATATATGGCATCGCCACGAAACTTGTGCTGACGTGTGATCAGTGCGGGAAACTGAAACTTGTACGGAGGTCACCGAGAGCTAAGGAGAGGGAAGGGGGGGACAGCAGGGTGCGGCCTGTTCAATATCAACGTGTGCGCGATTCGCGCGGCACAGCAAACGAACAAACTGCGTTGAATTGAATTTTTACTTTCACCCTGAATGTTTCACGGAGATGCAAAGAGATATAAAGATTACATGAAAGTGGGAATAATTTCTGTTACGTAGAAGGCTGCCGCGCATGTTACAGATGACTGCGCAAGCCCCGTCAGAACGCCGTATGTCGATCTGAACTATGGAAACATCTGGCATGCAATGAAAAGAAAGCGCTCGAAGAATGATGACTACACTCCTGCTGGCTTCTAGCATCGTTACTGCACTAATTTACACCATTACCTGTTGAATATACATGCTCACCCTGCCTCTAAACTTCTTTTCTCGTTTTCTCAAAACAACATTTTTCGTCAAGGCCGAGGCCATTGCCCACGGTGTCTTTTGATCTAGAGGTTGGATTTTGATAATTCCTGCAGCATTTGAAAGCTTATACAATGATGAGTGCAACAAGACCAAAACATTATGATCATTTCATTAAGAACAGTGATTTATTTAGTGATATATTTGGGGGGGTGCTGACACCACCTGTAAAAGCGTTTGCACCGCGTGGCGCACGTGTCTCGCCCAAAAGCCGCATTTCTGGTTACAACCACCAGGCGATAGACGGCATTGTGTTCGCGTTGAGCACCACTATCATCATGGCTGTTACAGTGGTAGCGCCGGCGGTGACCCCTGGTGGAAAGCAAGCATTGGTGGTGGGCGAGAGTTGAGCGAGTCTCTTCGATGCGTGGCGGTTGCCGCGAACGATTGTCTCTAGCGTGGGTCCTCGGCGCGTGGTACTGCGGTCCGCGCGTAGGGGGCCCTCGTGGTAAGTCATGCGTTGGCGATGCCGCCTTGGGTGTGTTATTGTGTTTTGTCATGTTATGGTGTGTTTATCGTGTTATTGTGTTATGTTGTTTGCATGGTAGCGTGTTGATAACGATTGATGTATCGATTCGGCGGACAATATCGTGGTTTTGAAATTAGATAAATAAATGTGTACTGTTCTTTGGTTTGTACCGACCGCGTCTGCTGTGTCCGTTCACTCCAAGAGCGTGGCGTGACAGTTCGCTCGCCAAATCGAGGCCCCACATATTTAAGCTGCAGTTTCAGATTTCTGATGAGTCTACTTGTTAAGCCCATAACTCTTGAACCAATGAAGCTAAAAATAAAATTATAGTTTCCTTGCACCCTCTGTTCTTTACAGAACACTGCCATATCTTACTTGCAGCAATCTTTTATGAGAAAGCTGTCTAAACTGTGGGTAAAATGTAAGTTTATGGAACAGTCAATATTTTAAAATCTGGAAGTTACAGCTAAAAACTAAGTGCATATTTGTTTTCAGCTGTGAGAAATGCATAGAACATAAAATTTTCAGCTCTAAATACTCAAAATTAAAAAAAAAACTTTAAGAGTGTCTCCCCTTAATGACTAGCGGTTATCCTGCCTACGTGCTCCATGCCCCGCCCATGTTCATTTTCTCTTCTTCATTTCAACTATAATATCCTTAACTCCGGTTTGTTCCCTGATCCACTCTGCTCTCTTCTTGTGTCTTAAGGTTACACCTGTAGTGAATAAGAAAGACGTTGTTACCATCAGGTCAGCTATCATCAGCACAAGAAGAAGGCATAAGATCGGCGATCAAGCACCGTCATCTGGGTTCGCCTGCGTTCCTTTAGAGCTACCATCCGCTTGCTCAGTCCTTCAATAAACCCCCTTTACATTTGGTGGATCGTGCTGGGTAACTGCATCACCTACACCCTGGAACTCCGATCCCGCACCCTGCCGTCGACCATGCAAGTTGACGCTGCCCAACAGACAGCACCTCTCGCGGCTCCTACTTGCCCCGGCCCGGTTTACCAGCGAGACCCCCCGATCTTTTCGGGCGCCGAAGACCAGGACGTCGAGGACTGGCTGTCGTCCTACGAAAAAGTCAGTGGACCAAACAGGTGGGATGACGCTGCTAAGTTGAGCACCGTCAATTTTTACTTGGCTAATGTGGCGAAACTGTGGTATACAAACCACGAATCAGAGTTCGAGAACTGGGCCACTTTCAAGCAGGCAATAACCTCGGTTTTCGGTCGCCCTGCCGTGCGGAAGTTGCGCGCTGAACAACGCCTGCGCTCACGGGCACAAGAACCTGGCGAAACGTTTACCGCCTATATCGAAGATATACTCGATCTCTGCAAGCGTGTCGATGCCGCAATGAGCGAAAGTGCCAAGATCCAGCACATAATGAAAGGTGTTGATGACGACGTCTTTCAAATGCTCCTGGCGAAGTCTCCTGGCACGGTGTCTGAAGTGGTAACTCTGTGCCAGAACTACGACGAATTGCGACGGCAACGAGCTCTCACCCGTCGTCCATTTCAGCCTAACCAACCACTTGCTGCACTGGACGTCGTACCTGACCACTCCCGCCTTCTAGCACAAATGAAAGACTTTGTGCGTGAGGAGGTCGCACGTCAGCTTTCCCTCCTGCCGTTTTGTCAGCGCCAAGAGCTCCCGCAGCAGCAGCAAGAGCAACCACCGACACCGTTAGCTCCCATGCTCCGACATGCACTTCAGGACCAGATTGCCGAGGCTATGCCAGTGCCCTTTCAGCAGCAAGTTGTCGCCGCGCCTCTTACTTATGCTGACGCAGTAAAGAGGCAGCAGCCACACCAGCCCTCGCCATTCAATGGACTGCCGCATGTTACCGCTCCTACTCAGTCTTCCGTCGCATGGGCTCCTCCCCTCGCTACCACAGCCTCGACTCAGCCGTATGCCACGTGGGCGGCGCCCCTTGCTGCAAATGCATGGCGAACACGCGATCACCGGCCGATCTGTTTTGCGTGCGGCGGACCTGGCCATATCTCCCGATACTGCCGTCGTCGCGTGCCCGCCTACACAGACGTCCGACCACGAAGCAATTACATGGACCGACCACCTTTTGGTTATGAAAGTTCGGATCGTCAGTCAAACACGTCTTCCCGTGACTATCCGGCAACTTCGTCTCGTCGCTCACGTTCACCCAATCGACGCTCCTTGTCACCCATGCGTCCACGACCAGCCCCTCAAAATGAGGGAAACTAGCCGTCGCAGTTCAAGGGGCAAGAACTGCGCTATCGAAATGTTCAAGTCCTCGCACCTTGCCGTCAAATATCGTCGAAGTTTTTGTAGACGACGCCCATGCATACGCTCTTGTTGATACCGGTGCCGCTGTGTCTGTTATAGACGCCAAACTTTGCCGCAAGCTCCGAAAGGTGACCACGCCGCTTGATATGTTCTTACGTGCAGCAAATGGAGAACCTGTTCGGCCTATAGCCGCCTGCACTGCCCGACTCAAAATTGCGGAGGACCACTACATTGTTGAGTTTATCGTCCTTTCCTCGTGCTCTCATGACATCATACTTGGCTGGGATTTCCTATCCCGTAATCGTGCCGTTATAGATTGTGCCCGTTCCGAACTTGAACTGCTTCCGTTCTTCGACCAGCCCTACGACCACACTAATCAAGCCGCGCACAAGCTAGTTGTCAAAGAAGACACTGACATTCCACCGACAACAGCTGTTTTGCTCCCTGTGGTCTCCGACGGCATGCGTGATGAAGTAGCATTTTTCGAGCCATCACGCCTCTTTCTAAGTCGGAAACCACTTCTGCTCCCTTATTCAGCCCTCTCAATTTCTAATGGAGCCAGTGCTCTCTGCCTTACCAATCCCTTTCCGCATACCATCAAACTGTTTAAAGGCGAGTCTCTTGGATGCGTACAGCCCATTGATAACGGACAAATTTTTACCGTGCCGCAAGAATCATCCCAAAGTGACCTCGCCGCCGTCAGTGCTCTTAACCACTCTCATCTACAGGCTTCAAAAGTGTTCGATTCGGCGATCGCAGACGGACTGTCACCATCTGAACGATCTGAACTCCTCCAACTGCTGTACCAGTACCGCGAATCTTTCGGTGTTGTTCAACCTTCACTTGGCCGCACTTCTACCACTCTACATTACATCGATACCGGCTCCCATGCGCCACTACGACAGCGACCATATCGTGTTCCTGCGGCAGAACACCAAATTATTACCGAACAGGTGAACGATATGCTGCAACGTGGCGTCATTCAACCTTCACAAAGTCCATGGGCCTCACCTGTAGTGCTCGTTAAAAAAAAAGGATGGTTCCGTTCGCTTCTGCGTGGATTACCGGCGCCTAAATAAGATCACTCGAAGAGACGTGTATCCTTTACCCAGGATTAACGATGCCCTTGATACTTTACAAGGTGCCGAGTTTTTTTCATCATTAGATTTGCGCTCAGGGTACTGGCAGGTCCCCCTTGCAGATGCCGATCGACCAAAAACAGCCTTCGTGACACCGGATGGTCTGTATGAGTTTAATGTCATGCCCTTCGGCCTCTGCAATGCGCCTGCCACCTTCGAGCGCATGATGGACTCGGTTCTTCGGGGTTTGAAATGGCAAATCTGTCTCTGCTATCTCGACGATATAGTCGTATTTGCGCCAGACTTTGGAACACATCTCGAGCGCCTCAAACACGTCCTCACGTGCCTGAAGAATGCTCAGCTCCAACTCAACATCAAGAAGTGTCACTTCGCTGCTCGGCAACTTACGATTCTCGGGCACGTCGTATCAAAGGACGGTATACTTCCAGACCCGGCTAAGTTACGTGCTGTCGCCGACTTCCCCAAACCAACGACTATGAAGCAGTTACAGAGCTTCGTGGGGTTATGCTCCTACTTTCGCCGGTTCGTGCGCAACTTCGCCTCTATCATTGCGCCTTTGACCGAACTTATAGGCAGCACCACTGATATTTCGTCATGGTCTTCTGAGTGCGACCAAGCCTTCTGTACCCTTCGTCGTCTCCTCACTTCGCCACCAATACTGCGTCACTACGATCCTACGGCAGCAACTGAGGTCCACACCGACGCCAGTGGTGTCGGCCTCGGTGCGGTTCTCGCGCAACGCAAGCCTGGATTCGCCGAGTATGTCGTCGCCTACGCCAGCAGAACTCTTACCAAGGCTGAATCAAACTACAGCGTCACCGAGAAGGAATGCTTGGCGATCGTTTGGGCACTTGTCAAGTTCCGCCCATACCTTTATGGCCGTGCTTTTGATGTAGTAACGGACCACCACGCATTATGCTGGTTATCGTCGCTTAAAGACCCATCAGGTCGTCTTGCCCGTTGGGCTCTTCGGCTTCAAGAATATGACATTCGCGTGGTATATCGTTCCGGCCACAAGCATGCCGATGCTGATGCACTGTCACGATCTCCCGTATCCCCGGACATCGCATCTGTTTCCTCGGACGACACGTTGTCAGCGCTTGACGAGGACACCATCCCTTCTGCACAACGCAATGACCCATGGATCGCTTCGCTTCTTGACGCGTTATCCGAGGCACCGACACTTCCAACCACTCGAACCCTGCGCCGCCAGGCTCCGCACTTCAGTATTCGGGATGGCCTTTTGTACCGGCGCAACTATTCAGCAGATGGTAGGAAATGGCTACTAGTCATTCCCCGAACGCTCCGCTCTACCATCTGCGCGTCGTTTCATTCCGACCCGCAATGTGCTCACGCCAGTGTTTTCAAGACGTACGAGCGCCTACGAAAAAGGTATTACTGGCGCAGAATGTTTACCTTCGTCCGCCAGTTCATTCGCGGCTGCCACGAATGTCAGCGGCGGAAAAGCCCGCCACATCCTGCAACAGGTTCATTGCAGCCACTTCCATGCCCAGACCGCCCATTCGACCGTGTAGGAATTGACCTCTACGGACCACTACCATTAACAACGGCAGGCAACCGATGGGCTATCGTGGCAGTGGATCATCTAACACGGTACGCTGAAACTGCTGCTCTCCCCACAGCTGCAGCACAAGACATCGCAACTTTCATACTCAATCGTTTTGTGCTTCGTCATGGTCCTCCTCGAGAACTCCTCAGTGACCGAGGGCGTGTTTTCCTCTCCGATGTAATACAAGCACTTCTTCAACAGTGCCATATGCTTCACCGGAAGAGTACAGCCTACCACCCACAGACGAACGGCTTGACTGAGCGGTTTCATCGTACTCTGGGGGACATGCTCGCTACGCATGTCGCTTCTGATCAAACAAACTGGGACCTCGTTCTCCCATTTGTGACATACGCGTATAACACCGCTACGCAAGTCACTACCGGGTTTTCCCCATTTTTTCTCCTGTACGGTCGCGAACCATCACACACCATCGACACTTTACTGCCATACTCGCCAGATCCCTCCGAATAAAGCCTGTCTCGGAAGCCGCTCGTTACGCAGAAGAGTGCCGCAAGCTAGCCAAGCGGCTTACTACATTCGACCAACAGCGCCAGAAGGAGATCCGTGACGACGACCATCGTTCTGCACCAACGTTCGTTCCTGGAGCACTTGTATGGCTTCATGTACCGCCCTGCGCCCCTGGTGTATCACCCAAGCTACTCTCCAATTATCATGGTCCCTACCGCGTGGTCGAGCGTACTTCACCCGTGAACTACACCATTGAACCCCTCACGCCACCGAGCGACCGTCGTCGGCGTGGACGTGATATCGTTCACGTAAACCGTCTGAAGCCGTACTTTGACCTGCTTGTCCCCACGTGTTAGATCGCCAGGATGGCTTCAACTTTTTCGCCGGGGGTAATTGTAGTGAATAAGAAAGACGTTGTTACCATCAGGTCAGCTATCATCAGCACAAGAAGAAGGCACGAGATCGGCGATCAAGCACCATCATCTGGGTTCGCCTGCGTTCCTTTAGAGCTACCACCCGCTTGCTCAGTCCTTCAATAAACCCCCTTTACACACCTACCATTTTCCTTTCCATCGCTCCCTGCGTCGTCCTCAATTTAAGCTGAACCTTCTTAGCAAGTCTCCGTGTTTCTGCTCCATGGCTAAGTACCAGCTCGTAGTAGTGGGAAGTTAAACAAAAGATTGGTACAGGCAAATATGGGCTTGACTTTATGTTGATGATCAAGTCGTGACGACACACGATGAACTCATGAGTGTCAGCAGTCGCGGTTTGAACTTGCGTGTCTGCATTAATCATTGCTCAAATACTGATGTGCCATCCCCTTTTATTCTAAATTTTATATACAGTGGCACATTGCCATATGCCCTACGTGTTGAATTTGCTACAATTGATTGGTATACCGCCTTTCTGCCTAGAAGTAGCGATGCACTGAAGTTATCCAAGCCACTCACTTTCATGATAGCAGTCTCCAGAGAAGGCAACTTCTTGGCATGGCTGGTACACGACCGCACCAGCTGTTCCACAAACTTCTGGAATTCTGGAGTCCGAGCCACAAAGTCCGTCTCGCAGTTCACCTGCACAAACAGAGGTCGCGCAAGTGTTGCTTTGAGAGGGACAAAAAATGGCGGCACTTTCACACGCTCTTTCAGCACAAGCAACTGCACTAAACATATAAACCACTCAATCACTACGATGCTAGGTGTGACACCTAAATGCTAAAATAAACGACGGGGGTGTGCCAAACTGAGCTGGTCGTTACATTGTTAGGACAGGAACAAACGGCACTTGAGAAAGAACGAAGAGAGCATGACAGACAAAGTGCTGAACTGGCAACCACTGGTTTATGGTGGGGAATGCAATATACACGAAACGCTCGTTCAGCAGAAAATAAAAACAAAAGACAAGTTAACAGCTCAGAGATAGGACTCTCACTGAAATCACCACATAACATGAGTAATTGCACAGGCTGTCATGCTTCCTCAGAAACAGCTAATATCACAGCTTTGTAGGGAGACAGGACGTGCGGAGGTTTCTATGCGAATTAACCAAATGCACTGCACTCAGCAAAGAGAAGGCAACAACCACATTTCTCTTTGCAGTGCTAGGCTTGACGACAGGCAGCAGTGCCTTCTAGTGAGTATGCATACTCTCTCAGCAGGTTATTCTACTAACATTGGCCAGTTTGGCCAATTTCGCATCATGTGAACCTGAACAGCATCTTGCAGAAAGCTCTGGATTCAGACCAGTTGGGTTCTTTAGTATTCACTGACATGGCACAGTACACATGTCACTAGCATTTTTCTTCCATCAAGGCACTGCTGCCACAGCTGAGATCAAAATACACAATGGTGTAGCCAGAGTATGCAAAGTGCTTTCCAAATTTCTCCATCGTTTTCTGTGGGCTTTCTTGCGAACACTTCGACATAGAAATGTGAACTTTTTGGTTTAACAGGCTACTAGAATGGTTACGTTGAAGCGATGGTCAAGCGCAGAGCGGATGGAACTAATTACCTCTGCCAAGGCTGCAAAGGGCCCGTCCACATTTATGGCAATGAGTCCCTGCTTGGTCTGGCGGCCTTGCATCTGCGCTGACTTAGCCCATCCGTGCTTCTTGGCCTCGTCGGTCAGCCACTTCTCTGCCTGCGTCATACCCCAGAGCTTCACAGTCAATTTCACCATATGCACTATGACCACAAAGAATGTAATGGCACAAACACATGCGCCTCTCTTTAGCAGTAGCTATATTACGCATTGTTTCAAGAACAAGATTCTGAGAATATGTGTGGGCAATCTTTTGCCATTACTAAGTGAAACAGGGTATGCAGAATTTAAAAGGAGAATAGTTTTTGCAAAAAAGGAAGGTGCACCATAACGGAGCAGGGCTGGTAAGCATCGATGGAGGGAAATGCGATTGCAAATAGTTCCCTGCCAAGCATGACAGTCCAACTCTGCAGTTCATTGACCAATACTGTTGTGGTTGTGTCTGATACACAAACCCGAAGTAACACCGCAAAATCACAACGAAAGACAATTATGAATGCTAATGAAACGAGCCTATGTGCAATAGGAAAAAGGTATTTGCTACATGTGCCTACCCCTTCATACCACATAGCAGTCTGTATAACTTAATTCTTTCGTTACCATGCGAAAATGGCTATTGTTCATATGTCTTAGGAATGTAGTTTTTGCCAGTTTGAAAAGTACTCTAGAACGCAGTGCAGCATACCAAATTTTCCACAATAACATGCCGTTTTCAAAAAAATATATGTTGTAGAGCAAAAAAATATTTTGAAACTAATAAAAACGTGAAAAGTGCATAATTTCTGGTCGCCAGCTGGTAAAAATTGTTGCTTTTTTGCCAAACATGGCCCTTGCGGCAATAAAAACCAACATAATAAAGCCAGCTGGTAAACCGTGCAATAAAAAACACTTTAGATGCAAAAATATTCAAAGCAAAGAGAATTCAAAATACACCTTTTGAAGACAAATCACCCAGGAACAGTATAAAAAATAACTTATGTAGAAAATGCTTCTATTCACATAGACAAAGAAAATCGGAATCGAAGTGCTGCTTCATTGCTTGTGTCATGCGGTGAAACAATGCATGGTTTTTCGTGCGACACAAGTGAACTCGTACACTTTTCTCAGTAAATTTTAGTTTTCTTTTTGCGATAGGAGCCTAAAGATGTTCCATTATGGGATGGATGCCGTGATGTGAATAATCCCTCTATACACCAGACGTCCACTGAATTTCTCTATTTCGTCTAACGTCCCCTCTCTCCATGAGCCACCTCCCTTGGCATAAGTTGGCATTCCAATATGCTTCCTGTCCTTCCTCATTTATTCCTCCTCCTCCTCCTCCAATATATGCATCCAATCAAATTTCTTTGCATTTTTCACATCGTATTAAACAAAAAACAACATCACACGCAGTTCTAAAACATTTCGTGCTGTTTCGCATTACGGGCCAAGGTGTTCTCTGGTGGCCTTCTTGTCGAGATGAAAACCTCTGCAGCCGGCGCCAGCACATCGCACCCTCTCTAGGTGTGGGCCTCATATGTAAACACAGTAGCCATAAGATTGTGCACAAAGGTCAGCAGCTACACACTTGCGACGGAGGAGACAACTTGAAGCCGTAAATAAAACAAACCTCAATGTCTCAGGCTGACACAAAACATCGTCGCCATGAAACTTGAAGCTGAGGTGCTGTCATCATCGAATTCTAAGCTCGTCTTCACTGAATTCAGGTGTGATTGCAAGACAGTTTTGAGCGGTGCATGTTTTTTGCAGTGCAGATATGCACTCATGCGTGTGCGACGACAACATAGAACCGACTAGTGACACTAGCTGCGGCACCCTTGTGTCCGATATAACAATACAAGCAAAACCAAAGCTGCTGAAAACTGACTGAGAAGGCCCCCTTTACACTTGAGACATGCGGTGGACCTTCAAGAATATTTTTTGTAAAATAAATTTTACCCGACTCCTAGCAACAGCTCTCTATCAAATAACTGGCATAAATTTCTGGCAATTATTACTGTTCAACACTGTCACACTGCCAAACTGACACTCAATTTGATATTTGACTTTAAAAAGCTGTAATGATTAGAGAACCTTGATGTTATGCATAACCATAACGGACACACACTTCTGTCAAGTTCACCAGCCAAATGCATTTCCCGCACAACACACACACACACATTGGTTCGCACAAAGGTCAGTAAGGTCAGTCAGAAATCACTATGTTGCCAGAATGGGCCAATTCAAATTGATTCTTAAGGCTGAGTGGCCAAACTAACTACTATAAAGTGCTGGGTGCACTAGAAACATATTCAACATGCCAAAATTGACGATTGAAAGCGTCGATCACCGGAGATCGATTTGAACAGGCGTGGTAATGAAAGAGTTAAGCATGAAGCATAAGGACGTACAGTGAAGAATATTATATTCGTGTGTGACCACACCTTCTTTTCTCTCAACTATACAAGCAAAAACAAGGATGTTCCTCACAATATGATTTCCCACATGACACAGCCCATTTGTAAACACCTCTTAATTTCTTTGAGGTGATTTAGAACCTTCTGATGATGATGAGCAACAAGCAATATGGTATCAATGTGGGTCATTTACGTGATGCATGATCAGAGCATCTCAATGAAAGATTGTACTGATGCATACTCAGTCACTAATTTTCCATTTGCTCAGCAGTTGTTAAATAACAAAAGCTCACATGTCAAGGTATCACTACTTCAAAAGGTAGGACTTTTTGTCTTTCCATCATTTATCTATATTTCACTTCAGCTCCCTATCTTGTTCAAACAATCACTACTTCTCCTAATGCAGATTCAGCATTATCCACCCTAGTTTTGTGTTTTGTTAAATGGTGTGTGAAGTTACAACTGCTACTCACTTAAGTTAGTCGATCGATAATGCTACGATTCTTGAGATTTATGAAGTGCAACTTGTACGTGAGCAACACATGAAAACCTATTAGCTATCAGATTTTTGTGTATACCACTTTATTCTAGGGTGACTCATTCAATTTCTGCATAAACTTGCTCAAGGATAGCATAGCCTTTGCGCAAGGTTAGCGCACCATCACACTTGCCCAAGACAAAATATTAAAGAGAAAAGTTCAAATAACTTCTCGTGGAGCACTGCAATGCACAGTTAAGGAACAGCAGCTGAAACACAAAGCATGTGCTTCACAATTTCCATTTTTTTTTAACAGACATTATGTAAAGAGAAGGTACTTAATTCTGCGCAGTCTTAGAGCTTGTGAGGGTAGTAAGTGCACAGTGCAATCGACATGTGCCAGCATGGCATGCAAGTCGGGTCAAAAGCAGACATTTGAGGTTCCTCTTGCACATAGTATTGTGCAGTGTCAAGACACCCTTGCTGTCTCTGACATTGACAGTATTAAAGGACCATCTGAAGCCAAAACCATGATGACCTTACGAAATACCACGCAATATAAACAGAACTGAAAGACATAAAAAATATACAACTCCTTTTGTGCTTCGGCTTTCATGAAAAGAGTGATGTGACTGCGTATTTTTCAGTAGAAATGCCTGCTTCGTGACCTGACACTAAAGCTGTGCCAGATGATAAGAAATGAAAACAGGATAAAATATTATATAAAAACCCATGATAAATGCAACGCTACCATAAAGTTGAAAAAAATCGAGGCAGTAACAAAAGTGCAAATCCTCCAAGTTCTTAATTGTGAGCAACAAGATTTTCACAGTAAAACTGACGCACAGTAATATTTCTCCGACCATTAGTATTATGGGTTGATTCAAGGTTTCTTTAAAGAGCTCTGCACTCTATCTGGGAGCTTTTTGCACAAGCACATGTAAACACCATCTCAATACAATCTAGGTTGAATGATTCTACGCACGAGAGTCAGCATTACAGAGAGGAACATTGGGGATGCAAATAAACGGTTATGGTGAACTACCGAAGACTACAAACCACGAGCTCATCCATACTTTTTTTTTTTAAACATAAACAAGCTGCCTCCAGTGACCCTTGCTTGGTTTTTAACCTTGTTATCAGCAGTCTGGGAAAAGCAATGCTTGTTTTAGGTGTACTGCTAACTGTGGAAACGCATGCTTTTACTATCAGCATGTTTCACACTTTGAGAATAACACACCTGGTGAGAATAGCACATGCCTCAAAACAGCCCCCTGCTATTCAGATAATTGATGAAATTATGATGGTAAAAAAACAGCAGATGCTACAGTCACAATGTACACACATGAAAAAAGGTTTACAAGCTCGAACCTGTAAGGGTTCGAGCTTGACCTTTAGACAATTTTTCTCAAGATAAGCTTTCTGATAAGCTGGAAAGCTTCAAGATCATCACCTATTGGCTCCGTGCCTTCCTACTGTATCAAAACAAATAGAGTTATAGTGACTTAATGCTTGGTTTAAAGAGGCTTACCAAGACACCTACACCTGCTACAAAGCTCACAAACACAAAAAGAAATGCGCAGCAATGCACAAAAATAGAAAATCTGCTATGATGGCAGAACAGAGGATGTAATCATGTATCAATACTTTATCACATTAATTTTACAACTTTGTTCCCTGGAGGAGAAGAAATTATCGGCCTTTAAATGAAGCATTTCAAAGGACTAAAACAAAAAAAAAATGGTCAGCTTTATTTCATCAAGGTGCAAAAATCAAGGCATTTTTCAATGCTGTTCACGAAGAACAGGATCAACCACTACCCACAGGCTACTCTAAATATCACTGTCGCAATATATGTACAGGAGCAAAAAGTAGTGTGAACAATATGATAGGGCTCTTTTCATAAAATCAACTGCGAGCTCTCTATGATGCTGTCTCAGCTATACCACCTACCATAGAGTTTCATACAATAATACCTGGAGAGCAATCTGGTGCTACAATCATGTACCCCCATAGGAAATTACGGGAAGTACAGGCTTCAGATTAGATTGCGTTAACTCCCGAACTGCCCCCAAACCTTTTTCTACAGTTTCAGTTTCGTTTTTTGCACAGCATGGGATAAAGTGGAAAGCACTGAAGCAGCGCCTTTATTATTCAAATAGGCTGAAGACCACTAGATTTTTTTATTTGCTGCGACGTTGGAGCTTTACAAGTTGTATTTGGCAGTTTAGGCAAAGGGTTGTCCACTCACCGCTGCATATAGATGCAGCGTCCCATGCTATTGCAAGATATTGCATCGAGCTGACGTTTTTCCATAATTGCTTCCTGTCAAAACTCGTTCAAGTCGACTGCAAACGATGACTTTACAACAAAACGAGAGATGAGTCGGGGGCAGACCACTCGGAGAGCTACACCTTGCATCACGGCAGACGAAACGTTACCCTGTTTCTCACTTATTACTGTACTGTTATTTCTATAAATAGATAAGATATACTTTCGAGAGAGGAACAACCATGTTTGTTTTCAACTGTTGTAAAGAATAATTCACAATATCTTGATGCCAAATCTGGAAAGCAATGGCTGAGCAATGCATGTCCCGGTAATTAAATTTGTCTTCAGTTTCCCTCCTACCTCATAGTCACAAAAAGCTTTTGCAATAATGGTTGGGTACAAAAAATTAAGCAAGTTTCATTAGATATAACTTTATATAATTTTGTTTATGGGTTGCACACATTAAACAAGGGTGTGTTCTAATACTCATTGTAGACGGCTAAATAGACAGCGGCCATTGTAAGTCCCACTCTAATTCTCACATAGCCAGCAAAATAGACAGCTTCGAGAATATGGCACTGTAGACAAATACGATGCAGGCTACCTTGCAGTCCAAACAAGATGGCGACTCAGCGAATCGCTTGGATCTGGCTGGAATAGTCGTTTGCACACAAACAGACGCTTCTACAGACACTCAATGTGAGTAACATTCAAATTTTCTTAGATTTTACCACGAAATAAGCTAAAAAAAATAACAGTTATGTTTGCTTATCTCCACTTCCTCTTCTCGACGCAAGGTGGCGTGTCATCACGTACAAGCCATCCAGAGGTGTTCCATTTCTCAGACAACATGAGCTTGATGCTGTTTTCTAAGCTTTCTCCATAGACTGTCTATGATGCTGTTTTAGAATTGGAACACAGCCAAAGCGTCGCGAATCTCAAGAACGTAATCCATACGAAGCCTGTACTTCCCATAATTCCAATGAGGGTACAAGCACCACCAAAGGAGCCCGCAAAGACACTAGCGCCAGATTCCCCTCTAGGTATTATTGTATAAAACTCTATGCCACCTATGTTAGCGTGCAACTGGACACTTTAGATGTGGTAACAAAAACAGCACAGTGTTTGCATTCTTGAACACACTTGACTTTCAGGATCATACCGGGATCTTGGAGCATAGTCTGTGAGCCTTGTGTGGCTTACATGGTCAATATATTGAGCCTGTATGCCTTTTTTTTTTTTGTCATGATGAATTTAAATCACTGTGGTGAAGACTGACATGCGATTTGAATGTGATAACATAGCTACCTTTTTTTTTTTTTTTGACAGATGCACACCAAATGCATGACAACACACACTATTTTACTTGACGATAATACTTCTCATGCAAGGTACACATTAACTCCAAGGCATAGCACAGGAACTGTTACCGAACAGTGACCTAGCTCAAGTTGTTTGCCTTACTTAAACAAAAATGTTTTTTTTTTTTGCTCCCTTAAAAAAAAGAAACCCGGAAAAGTGTCAACCAAAAACTATAAAGCGTGTTTTTCAAGTTTCTTTTGTGTGTGTGTGAATTTTTGTTTTTTTCTACATTCTTCTTCTACTACACAACTCCTCCTAATTATGAGTAATTTCTTAACCATAACTTCATTTTACCTCACTAGCATGACCAAGCAAATGACAGGGGCGCAACATATTCTATTCTTATTTTCTTAAAAATAAAACTCTCTTTTGATCACCTTTTTGATGTCATTTTCAGTGGCCTCAAGTGCTTTCTTGCAGTTGGAGAAGGTGTAGCCCGTCTTCTTGCGCAGTTCCATGAGGGCCGTTTTCTCCACTGCTCGGAGCGAGGCACACGTCTGTAGGCATCGCGTCAGTACCTGGGCAAACATGCTGGGACCAGCGCACGCCGCGTGCATGAAAATCAAGTGCAAAGATAACAACAGTGATGGCAGCATTCATTTAATTCAGATTCCAATAACCAAACATGACGTGTCAGCACGGTACACAACTTTAATATTACTACAGAATCAAGAGTGCAGTAAGGCTGGCTCTTTTGCACCTTCTATATCAGACGTGCATTTGGCCATAATGTATCGAGAAAGAACTTCCACAAACTGACGTTGAGGAGGAAGAAGACATGATAAAAGCCATACCTTTAATGCTGTAACAGGCCTCTATGCTGTGTGGCTTGAGAGGCAATGTCCATGAATAGTCACATCCACATTGCATTAATTCATGACACTATAGCGATACATCCCCTGTAATATTACTCCACCTTTGAAAATGCAATGTATGAGTGTTCTAGACACAAGTCCAATGTCAGCACCCCAAATAATTCTAGCCTTTTAATGTGCATCAATGAGAACAGCAGAATTAAATAAAAGAGAAGGATTACACAGCACTTCACTGGCTCGATCGCGTCGGTTGAAACCAAGCGGTTTAGAAGCGGCCAATTTTGTCACCCTCCATGAGTTCAACAAGGCAGTCTTCATGTAACCTTTATCTAAGACAGCCTTAGATATGTTTTCACGTCTCACAATTGTCTCGTAGTTCTCTGCTGTTTTAACAAGGCTCTCAGTACTACACCAGAACACAGCACAGCTTGCTGTCTGATCAGGATGCAGACAGTGCATATGGCAATGTTGGCTGTATTAGAACTGAGAAAGGGCACTCTAAGTACAATATGTATGCTACCAAAGTACAGCACATTTTTTTTACTGGTATTACTGCAGTGGTTTCTAGACATATGTGCATTGTGCTCGCCGAGTAAGCATACACTGCATTCGTACAGAGAAATCTTTACAACAAGACTCGGTTCTCTTTTCACACTCAGGAGAGTATGATAGTGAATGAGATTGTGATTCAAAACATAGAACTGCCAGAGAGAGATAGGACAAGGGCGAATGAACAGCACAATTGGTATGTGTTCTTCCCTGCCTTCATACAGTGTCTACTGCATGCACTTTTTTATACGGATCTACACACACATACACGACTTGCTGTGAAGCAGGTTTCCAGTACAACGCAGACATCTGCTTATCTGTATTTAGAATGCAGAACACAAACTGTCTAAAGTGAGCACCTGCGCAAGGTTACCGGCTTTGTTTGCAGTACGTCAGAAAGCGCACTGCAGCGCGCATGGCAAGCGCGAAAAAAAAAAAAAAAAAGGTATGCCTGGGTACCTTAAAATCACAATCAATAAAATAAAAGCGTATCATTTGTCCTCTGTGATTAGACAAGGGCGACAGCCCGGCTGGTCCGTACGAGTTTGTCGAGATTTAAACCTTAAGAGTGAAGCAATGCACGTTTTAAGACGATCATAATTTAGTTTAGAAGACGTTCAAACTTTCTCTGTTCGGCAGCTGATCGCTGCTTTCCTGTCAAAAATGAGAAGCTAAAGCGCGCAGAGTTGACAAGCAGTTCGCTTAGCTTCCAGCACCCGTTCACAAACTTTCGCTATTTCCAAGAGAAACTTTTAGAAAGCACGTTCGCTGTACGAAGATTAAGTGTGCGGCCAGATCTCCGTCGTCACGAAAGCGGAATTTCGCGCTATTTGCGAAAAATCCGGGTTGGACAGCGCACGCTTGACACCGATCGACGTGGGCCGGCATTTTGCATCAGTTCACGCTGGAGAATTTTTTCCTATACGCTGCACAACTTTGCCGAAAGTCCAGAGAGCGAACCTGAGAGAAACGTGCTTCGCACATGCATGCTTACTTGCGTTTTTACGCCGTGCCAAGATGTTCGGATCTACAGCGCCGACGCCCTCGGTTTCGTTACGCGATGGAGCACGCAGCACAGTCGTACTTGGCTCGGGAAGGGTGAGGTGTACCACGAAACGAAACGATGTATCGAAAACGCATGTGGTTACTGGCGCAACAAGGCAAGAAAGTGGGGGCACACAAGGTGGGGGCACATCGGATAAATGGATAGATGAATGTGGCTGTACCCTTTTGATCGGGTGGCGGCTAATGCCACCTAGCCGTTATACTTAGTGAACCAACAACTCGATTTATCTTTTTTTTTTCCCTTTAAATAGTGAAGTTGAGGACTGGTACTATGCAGTGAAGGGTTTATTTTCACTAGTGCCTTGACTTTAGCCACTAATCAGATAACCTTCTTCTAGTTAATTCTACCCGCTTAAAGTCTATTTTGCCCTCCCTGTCCCTAAACCCCAGTGCTTTGAAAAACTCTGCAATATCTTCCTGAACTATAGGGTGAAGCCCTTTGAAGAACATTATCGAGTGTTCGGCAGTTTCCGCCTCCTCTCCGCGTGCACTGCATACCGTGTCAGTCAGTCAGTCAGTCAGTCAGTCGGTCAGTCAGTCAGTCAAACAACTTTATTTGGTCCTGAGAAGACGAGAATGCCCCCGTCAGGGGGTACCACAGAACACCTGTACCGTCTGGGGGCCCCGCCCACGATGGCACCGGGAGGTTAAAGCTCTCGGCAACTTCGCGGGCTCTGTACAGCCCTTAGCTGCTGGTCCTTTGCGGAGCTGGTGATAAGCTGGAGCCAGTCTTCCTCAGTGGAGGGAGACCCTGAGCCCCCGTGCAAGTCGTGACACTGCCACAGCATGTGCTGAAGGGTGCACCTCGGATGACCACAACGAGGGCAGCGTGGGTCTATTCCGTCTACGAATTTTGACCAAACAAACGGACATGGATACGTGTTTGTAACATTCGCAGGGTGATTGCCTGTTGTGATGACGTTTATTGAACCGGAGAAGTCGCAATAATGTCGCAACGAAAAATGGCCGTACGAAAAGGCGGCCCAGGTTCTCGTGCAATCAGAGCACGGGGTTTTTCGTTCTCTTTGGAAGGCGCATACGCGTTATTGCGTATGCTTCACTACAATACCCCCGGAGTGAAGAGTTGCCATCCTGGCGACTCAGGGAGTAGGCACAATGAGGGGGTCGTAGTAGGGCTTGAGACGGTCGACGTGTACGGTCTCGCGTCCTCGACGGCGCAAATCTGGCGATTGTGTTAGGGGCTCGATGATGTAATTCACCGGCGAGGTTGAGTCAATGACACGGTATGGACCATGGTACCGGGTCAGAAGTTTAGAAGACAGGCCAGAAACGTGCAGGGGCACCCAAAGCCACACGAGGGAGCCAGTACGAAACGTAGGCGCTATGTGATGAGCGTCGTCATGTCGGGTTTTTCGTAGACCTTGAGCCTCACTTGTCATATACCGAGCCAACTGACGGCGGTCTTCAGCGTATCTGGCGACTTCCTAAAGCGGGGAGCACTTCGATGCATCAGGGTGGTACGGGAGTATGGTGTCGAGTGGGTGGGATGGTTCGCGGCCGTACAACAGAAAGAACGGGAAAAAAACGGTAGTCGCTTGAGTCGCGGTGTTGTAAGCGAAGGTAACAAAAGGTAAGACAGCGTCCCAGTTAGTGTGGCCGGAGGAGGTGTACATCCTCAGCATGTCGCCAAGTGTGCGGTTGAACCGTTCAGTGAGACCATTCGTCTGTGGATGGTATGCGGTAGATTTCCGGTGCACGATGTTGCATTCAGCGAGAATAGCTTGGATGACCTCCGACAGGAACACTCGACCCCTATCACTGAGTAATTCCCGTGAAGCCCCATGGCGGAGAATGAAGCTGCGCAAAATGAAGAGTGCAACTTCGTGGGCAGTCGCTGCCAGTAGAGCTGCAGTCTCAGCGTAGCGTGTCAGATGATCGACGCCGACAATAATCCACCGGCTTCCAGAGCGACTATATGGAGGGGGGCCATAGAGATCGATACCCACGCGGTCGAATGGGCGAGCCGGGCATGGGAGCGGCTGTAACATGCCAGTAAGGTGCCGCGGAGGTGTCTTGCTCTGTTGGCAAGTGGTGCAAGACTGAACGTATTTCTGCACAAAGCGATACATTCCTCGGCAGTAATATCGTTGGCGTAGCCTTTCGTAGGTTTTCAGGACACCTGCGTGAGCACTTTGGGGGTCTGCATGGAAATTCATGCAGATGTCAGAGCGCATGTGAGTTGGGACAGCAAGGAGCCACTTCCGACCACCAGGCATGTAGTTGCGGCGGTACAGAATGCTGTCTCGCACGGAAAAGTGGGCTGCTTGTCGGCGTAGCGCTCTCGTGGAAGGGACAGCAGACGGATCGGTAAGGTAGTCGAGTAACAATGCAAGGTATGGATCTTTACGCTGCTCCAAAAGCATGTCACTGGTGTCTATTAGTGATAAGGTGGTAAAAAGTGGTGACAGAGAAGCTACATCTGGGGTTAATGACGATCGCGAAAGTTCATCGGCATCCGCATGCTTGCGACCGGAATGATATACTACACGGATGTCGTATTCTTGCAATCGAAGTGCCCAACGTCCCAGGCGTCCGGACGGGTCTTTCAATGTGGACAGCCAACATAGAGCGTGGTGGTCTGTGACCACGTCGAAAGGACGGCCGTAAAGGTACGGGCGAAACTTCGTCAAGGCCCAGATTATGGCCAAACACTCCTTCTCTGTCACGGAGTAATTCAATTCAGCCTTCTTGAGAGCGCGACTTGCATAGGCGACTACGTATTCGGCTTGGGTGCCTTTCCGTTGTGCCAAAACTGCACCAAGACCGATGCCACTTGCATCGATGTGAATTTCTGTGGCAGCAGCGGGGTCGTAGTCACGAAGAATAGGTGGTGAGGTCTGCAGGCGGCGCAGCTGGCGAAATTCGTCGTCACATGCAGGTGACCATGCAGATATACCTTTGCTGTTGGAAAGCAGACTCGTGAGAGGTGCGATGATGGACGCGAAGTTGCGCACGAAGCGACGAAAGTAGGAGCAGAGACCAACGAAACATCGTAGGGCTTTCAGTGATGTGGGCAACGGGAAGTCAGCGGCAGCTCGAAGCTTATCGGGATCCGGAAGAACACCGTCTCTTGTGATGACATGTCCCAAGATGGTTAGTTTTCGTGCTGCGAAGTGGCACTTCTTGGAGTTAAGTTGTAGGCCTGCAGAAGTTAGACACGTCAAAATCTCGTGGAGGCGAACAAGATGTGTCGGGAAATCAGATGAAAAGACTACGATGTCGTCCAGGTAACACAAGCAAGTTTTCCACTTATGGGCACGCAAGATGGTATTGATCATGCGCTCAAATGTGGCAGGTGCGTTGCAGAGCCCAAATGGCATCACTTTGAACTCATATAGGCCATCTGGCGTTACAAAGGCTGTTTTAGGGCGATCACATTCAGCCATTGGCACCTGCCAATACCCAGAACGCAGATCCAAGGATGTAAAGTGCTCGGTGCCTTGTAAACAGTCAAGAGCATAGTCTATTCGTGGTAGCGGGTAGACATCTTTCTTCGTAATCTTGTTTCAGCGGCGATAGTCCACGCAAAATCGAACGGTGCCATCTTTTTTTCTTTACCAGAACCACAGGTTATGACCAAGCGCTTTGAGAAGGCTGTATGACTCCACGTTTAAGCATGTCGTCTACTTGCTCCGTAATGACGCGGCGCTCTTCGGCGGAAACGCGGTAAGGACGCTGTCGCAGAGGCGAATGTGAGCCGGTGTCAATGGTATGAGCGATAGTCGTGGTGCGGCCCAAAGCAGGTTCTTGAAAGTCGAAAGAAGAGCGAAACTTGTTAAGGATTGATTGATTTGTGGGGTTTAACGTCCCAAAACCACCATTTGATTATGAGAGACGCCGTAGTGGAGGGCTCCGGAAATTTTGACCACCTGGGGTTCTTTAACGTGCACCCAAATCTGAGTACACGGGCCTACAACATTTCCGCCTCCATGAAACTTGTTAAGGAGAGCAACAAGTTGGCGGTGATGCGAGAGGGGAAGGTCTGCGTCAATAGCATTGTCGAAGGCTGACAAACTTGATGGCTCAGACGCATGAGTTATTGCGGCAATGTGACATGGCATTTCGTCGGGAAGAATAGTATCATCGATATGGTCGACAGGTTGCACATATCCCAACGTTTCACCACGAAGTAAGCCAATGGGGTAGTTGCAGTGGTTGGTGATCAGCATTACGGTTAAACCAGACGCAATTGTAAGAACGGCAAATGGGAGAACGATGCCCTTGCGTTCAGTAAAAACCGGAGATGGCGTAAACACCACCGTGGCGTCAGGTTGCGCCACACATGAAAGACTTATAGGGACCGAAGCTTCCGGAGGCAAGGTGATGTCGTCGTCAGCGATGAGTTTGCAGAGCCGAGGAGACCGGTCGGGTGGTGGAAATTCATATGTTGGCACAAGGAACACTTCGGCACGGGAACGATCGATGATAGCTTCATGACGTGATAAGAAATTCCAACCGAGGATAAGGTCATGAGAGTAAGATGGCAGAACAAAAAACTGTACGACGTACAAAACGTCTTGGATGACGACGCGCGCCGTACACACAGCCGAGAGATATGAATGCGTTGCGCGCTAGCCGTGGACAGCACCATGCCACAGAGAGATCTGGTCACTTTCTTCAGTTTCCGACAAAATTTGGCGTTCATCACAGAAACGGTGGCCCCCGTATCAATTAACGCCAATGTGGCGACTCCCTCAACATCGACATCAACAACATTTTGCGGCGAAAACGGAGGCCTTGGGAATTGCGCACAAGTTGCAGTTCTTGCCTCCGAAACTGCACTGATTAGTTTCCCTCCTCAGACGGTGGTCGACGACGCATAGGCGACGCATAGGCGCCGACGATCGGCGACGAGGGAATGGGAAACGAGTAGTCGATGGGCGGTAATCCGAGTCTGAGTGCCTCTGTTCATATGCAGACGCGGTGGCCTGCTGCGGCGCGTAGGTAGGAGTTCCGAAGTATGCGTTTGTAGGTGTGGGGCGACGGTGGCAGAAGCGTGTAATGTGGCCAGCGATGCCACAGGCGAAGCAGATAGGACGATTGTCTCGGGTGCGTCACTCATTAGATCGACGGAAAAAGCGAGGTGAGGGCCTGTA